TTTTTTCTTTTTCTTTTTCGTTTTCTTGTTGTGTTGCTATTCATTTCCAGTTTACTCATCCACAGTCGTACTTAAAATTCCAATTCTTTCTGTTGAATAAGACTATAATCAAAGAATTGAGGAAAAACATATTCATTTTATGATTAAACATGCAAACATGTTATTTATGTATATATATATATATCTTCTTTATATTGTAATAAGCAACCGATAAAACGCACGGAATGTGTCAGATGACTGGACAAAGTGCGAACGCCAAAACTTTTTTAAACAAAGATAAGTAGAAATATAAGCAACAAACATTTAGAAAACAAAACCAAGGCGACATTTTCAAGAGTACACAGAGATTTAGACTGTGAATATCACTGATAAGAAAACAGACAAGTATACATATACATGCACACAATGAAACAAATTTCGTTGTTCTAGAAAAAAACATAATAACAAAACATAAGAGAAGAAGACAAAAAAGAATCTTCTCTTATTTTTATTAAAAGAGAAAAAGAAGATTTATGTAGATTGTTGTTGATTATAATGTTTAACTAGAGAACCAATCGATGATGTACTACCACCACGACGTTTTAGATTCTCGAGTAATTGATTTGCTGTTGCACTAAATCGTTGTGGACATGATGAACCTAAAATAATTTTCAATCAATTAAATATGGATCGGACAGATCAACTATCAGATTCAGATATAAAAACAAACCTCTGGAAAAATATTAAAGGTGATACTCAAATGTGCAGTTTTAGAGAAGTCACGCATGTTTAATAAAGAAATCTAATAAATTCAATTCTGATTTCTAAAACCATCAAATAAATAATCTGTCTAAATACAGATATTTTTTACTAATAAACAAAAAGAAGAAAGCACACAAGAATAACAACATTAACTAAAACATAAATATCCATGCAGAAGAAACACCTATATTCTCTCTTCTATTTTTTTTTCAATAATCATGCGAATTAAGAAATGACTAAAACCCACGAATATACATATAAATCGATAAGACACACTGATTCTCTTACATAAAATAATTAATTTCGATACCGACGATGATAAATAACTGAAAATTATTGAGTATATTTTCTACTTAATTTATTTCTTGAAAACTTACCATTTGATGTTAAATTTTGTGGAACACCATTTGTTGTAACACAATTATTAAAAAAAGTTGTTGATGGTGGTAAACCATTTGAACTAAATTCAAGTGTAGATGGATTTTCATGACGACGAGCTTTTGCTTCTGCAGCACGTTGTGCAATAACAGCAGAAAAATTTGTATCTAATCTTGGATCCATCAAGGTTGAATTTCGTTGAGATGAAGATGAAGACGATGATGAAGATGATAATGTTACATTTGGTGGAGACGAACGATGAAGTGTCGTTGGTGATGGTGGAGGAGGAAAGCCATTTGAAGGAGTTATATCTTCGATGACAATGTTTTTTAATTCACCTGCATAATAAGATGAAGGTAAACGAGTTTTATTTGAATTTTCTAACAAAGAAAGAAAAAAAATGTAAATGACATTTAATCATTAATCTTTTTTTTTGATCTTTTCAAGGACATTTTCAACTTACCCTGATGAGATGATTTAATCATTGTTGTTTTCTTTGGTGATGATGATGATTCACTTTGAATTTTTTTCAAACGAGTTTTTGCTTGTTCAATTTGTGTTTGAAAATCGGATGTTAGTGTTTTTATCGGTTCAGATTTTATTGGAATCAGACGTATAGGTTCATTTGATGAATCAAAAGTAGTAGGAAATGGAGGCGGTGGTGGTGGCGCCGTCGAAGTTACTTCATTCTCTAGAATAATTGATGAAGTAGTATTATTATTGCTATTATTTGAATTAAGTGTTGCATAAATTTGTTTTCGATTATTTGATCGTTTTTTAATATCACTTGGTTTTGATGGTAAAATATTTGTATTAATTGTTTTAAAAGTTGACATATTTGTTGAATTTAAAGATAAAGGATTCATATAAATTGTACTATTATTTTCTTCCGTTGTTGGTAGAACATGATTACTGTTCATAGATGATAATGATGATTCTTCATCAGCTTCATTTGATGATGAATTTGAATTACATCGAACATTTGTTGTTGATAAAATAGGTACACTTGTTGTTGATGGTGATCCACGATTTAATGATCGTAATGTATTATATCCTTGTGGATTTTGAGATGATGGAAAACATTCATAGAGAGAAGAATCACGTTCGGGAACTAACGGTTTATTTCTTAAATAAATATTGATTAAACATGATTATTAGAAGAAGAAGAAAAAAGAGTCTTCTTACTTTATATAAATGGAATTATTACCACCATTTGAAAGATTTTCATTGACTTGTTTTGACATTGATATATAATCTTCACAATTATTTGATGATGGAACACTTATACTACCATAATCATATTCACATAATGCTCGATCAAGATCTTCTATTAATGAAAAAACAAATTATATAAAATAAAATATTTTCTATCTTTCGATCAAATATTCTAACCGATAAATGAATGAGATAATATCATTTAAATTCGAACTACTTTCTCAATTGTAAATCATTATATCTTACATAACGAAGAAATGTTCAAAGGATTAAAATACTGAAATGTACGGAAATGATCGTTTAATCGTAAATCCAATAGAAATTTCATTTCATTCTCTTTTTAACTATTACTTTCAATCAGAATATAACTACCTACTAAATTGTGAATAAATTTTTTTTTCTTTCTATTTCATATTGATAAAACAAACATGCATAGTGATATGTGAGTAAATGAGTGACATGCATACGCGCCTGTTTTTTTTTAAAGTGATCATTACGTGCAGCAGACGTTTGTCTGTTTTGTTTTTTCGAAAAAAAACATGAAATACCTAAGAAATTCTTATGCTCTTTTCTTTTCATAATCAACGATCCTGATTGATGAGAAGGATTAAATAAATAATGAAAAGGCGATGATTTCGACGATGATGAAGGAACTAAATTAATTTAGGTTGTAGATATATATATATAAGATTATAAGAAGCATGCATTTCAAGAAGTATTTTATTTAATCATAATATACATACCATTAAATTGTTGTTCAAGACCTGGCCGAAGTGGTGCTGAAAAATAAATTTTATTAAAATCAATAATTATTTATTTATAAAATTATACCTTTTCGACGATAAGGTAATGATTGCGAACAATTATTATTATTATTTTGAATTGTAGGTGAATCTAATTGTTGATAATGAGATGTATTCGCTGTTATAACTTTTAATGCTAATGTATCTCCTGCTCGTTTTATTAAATTAACACATTCTTCATGTGGCATTGATATAACATTGATATCATTAATCTATTTGTGATTTAACAAAAAAATTAGAAATAATTTTATAAAAAATAACAAAAACATACTTCAAGAACATAATCATTTTGTTTAAGACCAGCTTTATCAGCATTACTACCTTTTTCTATACTATCAAGAAATTGTAACGCGGGAAATGATGGACTTGGTTGAAATAACTTTCCTGCAACTAACATAAGAATTATTTCATTATTATTAATAATATTTTTTGTTGAATATATTTTACCTCGAGAACCTCGAAGAACAAATCCAAAACCTTTTTTTCCTCGTTGTAAAACAATTGTACGTGGACTATATGCATCATTATTTATCATTAAAGCTGATAGAGCATCACGACTTATAACGATTGTATCATCATTGATCATTTCACCATTTTCTATAGATTCAAAAAGACAAATATTGAAAGAAGTAAAAATAATATAATGATACATACTAAAAACACAAATATCTTGAACATGATTACTTGGAAACCATCCTTCAATATCTTTACATTTTCCTTCTAAATATCCTTGTTCACCAACACTTAAAACTAAATCAAAAAAAAATAATAAAATCTAAATTATAATTTTTTTTGAAAATTTACTTTCTACAATATCTCCTTTTTTTAATAATAATTCTCCAGGTAAATTTGTTCGATAAGATTTAATACACATACATTTTCTTCCTGGTGCTGCTGCATATAAACGTTTTCTTTTATATGTATAAGAACCATTCGGTGCATTTGGAGAACCTTTTGTTTTTTTATAAAAAATAAAATAAAAATAAAAATAAAATAAAAAAGTCTTACTCGAAGATAAATGTGATGCACATTCACTTCCAAATCCATGATCACTATTAACACTAAATGATTTGGGTGATGATGATCGACTTGATGGATGTTGTTGTTGAAAATAATGTTCAATAGTTGGTGTTGTTATTGGTGATTGACTTCGTCGTGTTGAATTATTTGAATTAAATTTGGGCATACTTTGTGATCGATTTGTTGATGATGATGATAATGGTGTTGTATTTGATGATGAACGTGCACGATGTTTATTTCGTTGTTGTTCAATATAAATTGAACGACGTTTAGGATTAATTAATGGTGTATCACGAAATGGTACAACGTGTTCAGATTTATGTGTTTCAATTAATGATGCAATGGAATGATTTTGTGAAACTAATGCAAGTTCATATGCTGTTTTATTTGTTTTATTTACAATATTTATATCAGCACCACGAAAAAGTAATACACGAGCACAAGCTTCCTAAGAAATAAAATATCATTAGTTTTCGTTGATGATAAATAATGTATCTTTCGAATATCAGATATATTCATATGATTCAAGAGTCACATTCATACTAATCCTCTCTCACTTAATCAATGAACTCCTCTCAACGGGCGTATTTCATTGCATAAAAATAAAAAAGCTTTTCTTCCTCCGCCTATCGAACGAACAAATACACACACAAACAAGTACTCAACCCTTTCTAATTTATCATCGACTGTTACTTGCATACGCGTTCGTCGGAGAAAGATCGATAATCCTTAAGCAATGTTTGACAAAAACAAAGAAAAAAGAAAATCTTCTAACGCCCAAATGATTTAAAAACAAAAAAAATGAACTTTAACTTTTTTCTTCTTCTTATTTATCTATTAAATCTTACGAAAAGATTATCTTATTATAAAATCACCTGATTGGTTGCTGCACAAATATGTAAAGGTGTATTTCCTCCAATATTAATTGCATTTATATCAGCACGATAAAAAAGTAAATGTTCAATATGTTGAACAAGACCAAGACGACATGCTTGATGTAATTCAGTTGATAAACTTTCATCATGACAATTAACTATTGAATGATCTTGTAATAATAATAAACAACAATAAGATGAATCAATATTTGTTTCAACTTGTTTATTTATTATTGAATGATATAAAGGTGTTAACATTTTTTCATCATAAATATTTGGAGATGCTCCAAGTTCAAGTAATGTCTAAAGTTTTTTATTTTAAAATATGAAAACTCAATTTATGATCACTTACTACAATAGCTTCTTTTCGATTATATATAGCTGATTGATGAAGAGGTGTTAAACCTCCATTACGTATTCGAAAATCTAAATGAGCACCACCATTAACTAATGTCATTATCATTGATCGAGGTTCAAGTAGATCAATACATGCACTTGATAATGGTGTTTCTAAAACAATTCAATCACTAGTTTTTTCATCATGTTAAATAAGTTCTTAAAAAATTGTATTATTGAGTGATTTTATCCTACACCTTAATTGACATAATAAATCACAAGTTTTTATGATGTGAATGAACACTTCATATTCGGTACATTAATCATAAATTTACAAGTAGAAAATGGCATTCTTTTAACCTTCATAACGTTAGAATTCGAAACTAAACTTACCATCATCAGAGATGTGAAAATTTGGATCGAAACCTTTTTCTAAATATCTTGATACTTTAGAAATTTGATTTGTTCGAACAGATTCAATAAATTTTTTAACATTTATTTTTAAATTTATATTTTTTTGTACAAGATGAATTGCTTTATAAACACGTCGTTTATATTTAAACTAATGAAGACAAAGAAACAATATAAATATTATTTTTAAATAAATATTTTATTTACCTCAAGATAACTAACAGGTCCACTTAATGGATATTCTCTTAAACAACGTGATTCATCAAGAAATTTTCCAGCTCGACCATTACATGGTGGTAAATATAAACCAAAATTTAAACTATCAGTTAATTCCTATGAAATTAAATATTAAATATAAAAGTTTTTTTATTTATTATTATAATAAAGATTTACTCGAATAAGAACTTGTAAAACTTTTTGTTTAGCACACCATACTGTATCATCCAAATTGAATTTTAAGACTTTCTATAAAACAAAATTTTTATCTTTATATATATAGAAGAGAAAGAAGTTTTTACCTGTAAATGAAGATCTTCAACTGAAATTCTTATATAAATAAAACTATTATCTTGTTCAATTCCACTATCATCTTTTTCATCTTGTTGATTTTGTATTTTATTTCTTTGTATTCTTTCACTTTCCATTTCATTTATTTATTTAATCATCTGAAAAAGAAAAGCCTCTTTTTAGTTTTTTTTATTGTAAGTTTCATTGTATAAACATTTATTGAATGGATGTTTTTATATAAACATTTCTGTAAGTTCATTATGAGGACGGGGGTGTATAGTCAAATGGTCACTCAATGTTTATAAAGTGACTTGTCTAGACGATTGCTTTTTTTTTCTTCTTATTCACCTTTTCTAATTAAGATATATTTCAACAGAAAGAAAAATGAGATGTATAAACATATTCATGGATAGAAGAATGGTTTCATTTTCTTCTTCAATGACAGATGGATATATATTCTATGGTAAACAAAAGAAAGTACTCATTTTACTTCGTACAAGGATATTTTTTTTTTGATCAATAAAAATGAAAAAAAACGATTTGAATGATGTTTGTAACCCTTTTCATCTCGATTTCATTCTGTTAAAAATGCCTTTAATGTGAACTAAACTAATAAAAACATTAATTTTCTTTTCTATAAATCTAAATATGTACTAACACCTTTAAAAAAAATTCATTAACATTTAAATAATTATGAATAAACTTACTTGGTGATCTATCGCGTAGTGGATTTTAATTTATGTATAAGTTTGAATAAATAGAGATAAAGATATTTTTAGTTTAGTCACGAAATCGAAGAATTGAACAATTTATTGTTGAAAAAAGATCCTAAACGAACATGCGTTATTGTAATCTGATTCCTTACTTCTTCTTTTTTTTCTTTCTGTCCCATTCTATTTCTCTTATTTCTCCTTCGATTTATTTACTTTCACTTCCCCTAACCTGCTCAATCGAGCTTCTGTATGAAGATGAGAAGAAGAAAAAGAAAAAGAATGAACTTAACGGTCAATATCCAGAAGAAAAAGAAAACAGAACAAAACACTTTTCTAATACCTATCTTCTAATAATATTCTTCAACAATATCTTCATCTTTGTTTGATATATAAAAGAAAACATATATCTTAACCTATATGTTGGACAAAACATATGTATATATTTTTCACTCCTCAAGGTATATATATGTATATGATGAACATCAACAAAAACAATACTGATGAATGTACGTGATGTTAATGTTCGATAGGAGAGATTGACCGATAGTCTGTCACGCGTGTATGGGACGAAAAGAAAGAAGTGCAAATAAAATTCAAACGAAATAAAGTGTGATGGTCAACTAAACAACACGTTTATCCGTTGATCAAAAAAAAAGATAATATATACAAAAAATCAATTTCAATTTTCATTTACTTTTTTTGAAAAAATAAAAATTACATCCACTTTACCTCTTCATGTAATCCTCAAATAAATGACAAAAAAATTCATATATATATTTATTATCAGAACTGTGTTTGTTTCCTTTATTGCGCACACTCCACCTTTATGTTGATTTTTAATCTTCAACATATGTGAACGAGTAAATCTGATAAGCTTGTTCAATATTCATATTTATTCAATCACAAACAAAAAAAAAGAATATTATCAAATGACTTTTCTTTAGTTGCTAACAAAATTATCTTTAGATTTAATGAAAAAATGTAATAAATTGGTGTCGATTAAAATCCGTGCGAGAATTCATTAGAGTATAAGTACAAGGTCTACAATGACGTAATCTTTCCTTTTCTTTTCATATATATAAAAGATGATAATAAGTTGGTGACCTGTTCTCATTTATATCGTTTCTATAAACCATCTGTGTACTCTGATGGAATTGAAAGAGATTGAAAATCTTGAACTTATTAAAAAAAATTACGTATACCCAAAAGAACAATTATTATAGTGAGTCTAGAAAGAAAACGAAGGTCGAGAGATCTTCTCAACGTATGTACATATATACATATACATATATATATATATATATATATATATGATGAGAACAGTCCCTCGAGAGAAAAAAATGATGACATGAATGAAATAGAAAATTACATCAACGAGAATACATAAGTGTATGCAATTTAAATGTTACTTTTTATTTTATATCGATAACTATATCGAATTTGAAGCGAGAAATAATAATTGAAATTGAAGTATTATTATACTTTTCATTAAAATAATATTTTTAAAATAAATCAATAGAAAAAATAATGTATTTCACTTACTACGAAGAACAATTTGTAGAAAAAGAAAGAATTGAGATGATTTTTTTCACAACAAACAAATCCTTTGCTCAATATTGATGATCAATTGACAAATAAAGGTTGCTCATTAACTGACCTATCTAAAGTTTGATACAACTATTCATGTCTTTTGTTTCATATAAAAGGAAATCAATGTATATTGATATACGAAAACTCAAGGAAATCGATGAACAATATAAAGACAAGAATAGGAAAGATAGATTTACGTATTGAAAAGAAAGATTAATGACAAAACAGAAAATAATTCTGTAAAAGATAATACTTTACCTATATAGTTAACGATTACATTCCAACTGATGTGTTGTGACATATTCAAATCATTTTCTTTTTTTTCTATTTAAAATTGCGTGTCCATTTGAAGAGAAGAAGAAGAAGAAGAAATAGAAGAGAGTAAGTCAAAAGTATATGTGAAGCGAGTAGACGTAGTTGAACTGTTCGACCGATCGGTGTAACGAACAAGTGTGAAAGAGAGAGAGAGAGAAAGAGATTTTTTGACCGACGGTGAATGAAGAAGAAGAAAGAATAAAAATTTTTCAAATCATAATTGTATCGTTTATACATTTGGCACCGTATAACGACGTCATTTTCAATCACTTCAAGTTGATGCATGTAGACACACTAAAACCAATCCGATTACTAATTAAACTAAAGAATTCGAACATGTTATTTTTCATAATGATGATCTTATGTTAAAATACACATTTCTTCGTCTAGAATAAACCGATCATATTGTCATTGATTTGAAGGAAAATCATTTTTTGTTTCTCAAGTACAGAAAATCAGATTTCCCTTTAGATTGTTTAATATAAATAGTCGATTCTCATACTACATATTCTTTTTTTTGTTATAAGAATATTACGTAATAAAATTGATTTTATCTATTCTCATTCGTTTTCTTTTTGTCAACTATGGCTTTGTCGAGACAGTTGACGAAGCCATAAACAATATTTATTCGAATAAACTCTGCAATATGATGAACAGGTACACATATGTAAACACTTTTAGTTCCTATAACATAGATGATGCAATATTTTCTTTTAATATGTAAAGAAGAATTTTTGTTGACAGCTGTTTAAAGTAAAAAATGTCAATAGAAAATCTAACAAAAGCGAGGTATTCAATCAGTTATAATAATAATAATAATAGTAGATGATTATAGATGAAATAATTGTTTTCACTCTATCAATTTAAATATTGATCGTTCATCTTGACAAGAAAATTGAAGTGGATGAACTTAATTTCAAAAAATGAAGAATTGTGATCATTATAGAGATAAATTTTACCTGAACAGATAGATTGCTTTGTTTCATTTAACATTGATATATAAATAGATGATATGATCCTGTCAGTTATTTGACAAATAAATCGATGTCGTCATAGAAGAATCTCAAGAAAACCTTCATATATATATAATGATAAGAATGTGTGATCTTTTTTTTTTTAAACTCATTTTTCATTCGTTAAGTAAAGACAAGATATTTTTTTTTCAATTTTTCAATCATTATGATGAATTAAATTTTGATTACATGAGTCGTAATTCATCATTAATACTTAACACGTAAGATTGTTATGGACATAAACATATAAATCAATTATATAATGTTATTATTTTCATCCAACAATTTTCAATAGGTTTAAATTTTACTTGTTCATTTTCTCTAAAAGAATATTTATCATCATATGACTACGAAATCAAATAGGATCGATATATTCCTTAAGATTATATTTTATAACAAAAATAATATTGATACTGGTAGTTTTTCGAGAATATTCATTTCTATAATAATCCTTGAAAATGAAGAAAATATTTTATATGGATAATTTATGTATGAATCATATTCGAATATTAATTGTTTCTGCTTGCAGCAAGAGTAATCAACATGTATTAATCAAACATACTGAAGTGCTGATCTTTAAAAAGAATCAATGATAGTCTGCCTAAAACTAGTTTAATAGTCTCCAATAGAAATTCTTTTATTTGTACACTTCTATGATTTATATTTGGTAAAGAGACAGACGAATAATAATTATTTACATTAAATAAGAATCGATCAAATATATTTATGAATGACTTTACTTCAGTTTTGTTTTTAAACAACTGGATTTTGTCTTATATTAATAATTAAACATGATAATACTCGATAAAGTATTCAAATTGGTTCAATATATCAAAATAATGTGTAACATTAAGAAATGACAACTATTTCAATGATAAAGATGTGCATAATAAGGGTACATTTATAGATCTTTATAAAACGTCAAAATATTATTGTGTAGTTCGAAACATGTTGGTAATAATAGTCGATAAACATACTTGAAAAGGAAGTATTTATTTCAGCTTCATAGAATCTCAATCTGCGATCAATTTTTTATGCATCGATGCATTAGACAAAAAATAAATTCGATCTCATTAGATTATTTTTCGAGAAATATATCGATTGTTTCATATTAATTATTTGATCTAAGTTCTTTATTCCTTTTTAAACATTTTTTTCTTGTGAGATGATACATTTCTTATTAATAACGATATCATACAATCATTTATTATTATGGCAAAATTTATCATTTGTTTGACATCGAATATACAAATCATTTCTTATCTAACAATAGACAATTGAATATTTTGTAAACTAAAAAATTATTTTTATCTATGAATTGTTAAATAAAACACATTGAATATAATTATAATGACTTGTTTATCCAGACAAAATTATTTTGATTTCATCATTACAAATTGACTAGAACAAAATATTCTTGTTCTCATTATAGATTACTCGCACCCATTTTCTTCTCTTTTGTTTTCCGCTAGCAAAAAAAAAGAAAGAGAGAATAATTTTCTCAAGAGAATTAATAAGCGAATTTTCGAAATCAGTTGTCTATATTTATTATTCTGATAATATTAGATTGACGATAACAACAACAACAAGAACAATTTTGAACAAACTCTTAATAGGTATTCCAGATGGTCTGTAATGATTCGTAAAAGTATTGATTCATTAGAAACAAATAATGATCAACAACCATTGAAAAATTGTTCAAAATTAAAAAATAATTTTCATGAATTATTAAATGAAATTGAAAAAGAATATAATGGTATTTTACTTGAAAATGTGGCTTTACGAAAGGAATTAGAACATAATAATAAATCTGGTACAATAATAACAAATAAATTTCGAACAGGAGATATTTTTCCAATGATTAAAAATCGAGTTGGATTTAGAAAAAAAAAATATTCGCCCAATAATTTAATTTTTTCATCAAATAATCAACATCAAGATATTATTTGGGATGTTCAAGTTAGAATTTTAAATTCATTTTTTAAATAAAAAATTATCTCTTTTTTTATCTAGATTGGTGGATTAGATAATTGTTATATTGGATCAGCTTCAGCTGATAAAACCGCAATTATTTGGTGTAGAAAAACAGGTTATCCTCTTTTACAATATCAAGGTCATTGTGGAAGTGTTAATTCATGTCGATTTGGATATTTTGATCCTAATTTAGTATTAACAACAAGTGGTGATCATGAAATACATATTTGGAAAATATCTCTCGATGAAAATATTAAAATTCTATCTAGTCCATTATTAAAATTAAAAAGTACTGATATTGTATCTTATGCTGAATGGTTTCAACATGATCAAATTGTATCAACTTCATGGGATAAAAGTGCAACGATTTGGAATGTTAGAAAATAAAATATTTTCTTTGAAAAACATCTTATATAAATCTCTTTATAGATAGAAATGGGTAATTCACTTCGTACACTTTATGGTCATGATGGAGAATTGACATATGTTTCCTGTCATCAAACAAAACCACTTATTCTTACTTCATCACGTAAGTTAATCAAATAGGAAAAATTGTTAAATGATTATTTATTTAAGGAGATGAAACATTTCGATTATGGGATTGTCGAATTTCAAATTCTTTAATTGAAATATTTCATGGTCATACAAAAACAGTTAATTCAACTTTATTTATTTCGGATAATCAATTTGTTTCATCATCTGATGATGGATTTGTTCATATTTGGGATTTACGTTCAACAAATTCTTCACCATTTCTCTCATTGGAATGTATTTCACCATGTAATCGTCTTTCATTATTTAATAATATTCTATCTGTACCACTTGATAATCGTGATATACGTCTCTATTCAATAATAACTGGAGAAAAACTTTATATTCAAAAACGAGCACATAAACGAGCTGTTCAATGTTCATCTCTTGTTCAATCGAGAAATTCAATGGAATTATTTTTAGCTAGTGGAAGTCTTGATTGTCAGATGCATACATGGAATATACAAAAATTAAAAGAAAATCATCGATAGGGATTTATTTCAATATTATATCGAATAAATGTATTTTCATAATAATTAAATAAAACAAAATTATTCTTCTTTTAGATTAGTTTATTCAATCTTACTTGATAGAAGTTTTTTTTACAGTCTAGAATAATATTTAAGAATCAAACGGGTTTTGTTATTCATTATTCTGATTTATGATAAATGAAAAATATGATAGGATCAGTAGTTTTATTTAATCAAGTCATATTGATATCATATCATAAAATGCATCTGAATACGTTCTGTTCATCTGTATTTACGATATAATTAAAAACTATTAAATCTAATGTCACGTTAACAAAAATTGAAGTTCATTGAATAGAAAAGAAAATAAAACAAAGTTCATATTATTTATAGTGTATGATTATTGATAAACATCTGCTAGTTGAATATTTATCGCTTTTTTTTCTCTATAATTGAAAGTCAAATTTTTATAATTATACTTGTTTAAAATTATGTTTTTTACATAGAAAAATCAATGTAAATAAAAATGTTGATTAGAAGTGATCGCTGCTATCGATGGAAATGAAGTTGTTGTTATTCGTTGAAATAATATTTTAACTGCTAGACGAAATTTCGTTCCAGATAAATAATAAATACCAAATGCAAAGACATTTTTAATAAATGTACTTGCATAACCAATAGAAAAAATAATATTCAATATGCCAATAGTTCGACAAGTTTCAGGTGGAACATAATGAACATATATATGTAAAAATAATGTAGGAAAAATAGTTAAAGGAAAGAGTATATCAAGAAAAATAAGTGTACGCACTAACAGAAATTGATGATGATGATGCGATACATTTAAAGATGTACTATTTTGTTCGACATCATTTATATTTTGGTGGATACGATGAGTATATCGTATAATACGAATTAAACATACAAATATAATAATTAAAGGAATGAAAGCAAAGACAGATAAATGAATTATTGGCCAAATATATCGCCAAAAATGCCAATATATAGATTTTTTTGATTCACATTGACACCATTGATTATCCAGATAACATGAATTGGGTGAATAAGATGAGACTTGAGTGAAAAAGAGTAAAAAATGTACGTTGAATAAAACAGATAATATACACAATCCCATAGATATAAATAATGCTGAACGTGGATGACATAGAATAGTCTTTGCATATGATTCTTGCGAAAGAAATAAACAACGATCGATATTAATACAAGTCAATAACCAAATAAATAAATATCGAAGGAAATAAATTAGAAAAATATTATAACGACATAATGTAGGTAAAAGAAACACTACGAATTGAGTACTGTCAAGTATGTATGGAAGAAAATAATTGAAAAGTACATCATTAATAAGAATGCACATGTTGATCACGCATAGAATCGTAAAATATACATAGATCGATATATGTCGTGCCCATTTTTTAAATATAATCAAAGATATTAAATTACCAATTAAACCAATAATAATAAATGAAATTGACCATATTCGATAAATCCAATGAGCTATTGTAGTTAATCGATCGAACGTAGTTAAATCTAATGAAAGCGACATATTATTAACAGACATATTTTTCTCTGTGAACAATTATTCTGATTTCAATGTAAATTATAAATGTAGTATTTATGATTACTGTATACGAATGATTTACGATAGAGTATAAGTTCTCATAGTGACTATTTAATCACCAGATGGTTATAGTCAACACTGAAAATATATACTGAAATAAATCTTTTTATATAGTATTCAATAAATGTAATATTATTAATGCATCTCTACAATTGATATAGTAGATCTGAATATTTTGAATTCTTAACAAAAATAAATTGATATATACGGCCTGAGAGTACACAAAATGTTTTTATTGACCATTGAACTTGCCTATTTTAATTAGCTCTATACTTTGTCCATTCTCATATGTGGTATCAGAAATCATTCAAACTCGTAAAGCTTCACAGGACTGAAAGTTCGTTCCATGATTTATTAATTCAATACAAGCGGAAAATACAAACTTTTGTCCTCATAGAATAAATAATTAAAGAATGTACTGTAAAATAATAAGCCATTCAAATCACACATTGAATTATATTAAATAAATAAAAAAAGAATGTTTTTCTTTGTTGCACCTTTTTTTCAATTACATAAAAGTGCTTACTGTACATATTTGATCTCCGAATCTGTAGTTGTTCCCTATCATTCTTTATTTTTACTCGTTTGAAAAAGTTGTTATTTTTTACTTATGAAAGAAATGTTGTTTCTTTGCATCTGCCTTGTCCTAGTTTGGAACGTGAATGGTGTGCATTTTCTCGGTGGTACTATTACATGGCGCCCATTAAATGCATCAGCTACTGGATCACCTGTAGCTATCGTTATTACTCAAACTTATTCATGGACTTATACTGATATGAAGTGTAGTAATAGTTTAATTGCTTCGAACGGTTACATTCCACCATATAACAATGTTAATTTAGATACACTTGATTGTATAACTAATTGTGGTACTGGTTCTGCTGGGTATTCTAGTATTGGTGTTCTTCCTCGCTGCACTGATTATTCGAATGTTGGTGATACTTCTATTGGACAACGTGTAGACACAGTTTATTTAAATGCAAATGATGATTTTTCTGTAGCTTTTCAAGATACCGCATGGCGTTCATTAGCTACAGCTTCAAGTGCAGCTTGGTCGATCTCGACACGTATTAATACAAAGGTGAGATCTGATAATGGTCTCTATAACAATGCACCTGTAGCCACTATGATGTCTCCAATTAATATTCCTCTCAATCAACCAACTGTAATCAATGTTCCTGTGGCTGATGCTGATGGAGACACTCTTCGATGCCGTTGGTCAACCAAATCGAATGGAGTTGATGAATGTTCTGATGTATGTCCACCAGGTTCACTTCCGGCAGGAACAGTTATTTATCCTAATTGTACGATCATCATTACAGGTACTCATTTAGATGATTGGTTTGCTGTTGCACTCATGGTTAGTTTCATTAGCTTTTTTTTACGGAGAAACTAGTTTGTTATATATACATAGGTAGAAGATTTTATTACTCCAACAAGTACAACTCCACTTAGTTCCGTACCTGTTCAGTTTCTAGTTCATGTAGTTGCTCCAGCGGCGTGTACAACTGCACCTGAAATTGTTGGTGTACCTACCGAAGAATCTTGTACAACTGTGATTGTTAATCAACCATACACTTCACAAATACTTGCTATAGATAATTGTGCTCCATCTGTCACTATTTCTGATATTGCTACACTTTCCTTTGCTGGTATGATCAAAAGTAATCTTGGTCAACTAAGTTCGACAGTTTATTACAAGAACTTAACATGGACACCAACTAGTGCTCAACTTGGATATCAAGTTATGTGTGCAATGGCACTCGACAGGTTTTCAATCATAATAAATATAACAAAAACAAATTTGTTCTCTTTTTCTCTCTAGTGCAAGCGTACAATCAGCACAATATTGTTTTAAATTTTATGTAGCAACTACATATGTATGTTCATGTCCTGGTGATCCATGTATTACAACAACGACAACGTGAGTAAACAAAAAAAATCATCTTTTCATCATATTTATATTAAATTGAATTAAATTTCTATTAGAACAACAACATCAACAAGTACTACTACTGCAACGACATCGACGTATGTTACTATTTCATTCATTTTGTATTTTGATTTATCTTATACATATCGATTTTTTTCTAGGACATCAACTTCTACTACTAGGTAAGATAAGAGTATTCATAGAATTTCTTATATTATATTAAAAAAAACTTGTAATTCTAGTACTTCTACAACAGCTACTACTAGGTAAGAGAAGAGTATATATAAATTGCTTTATATTATCTAAAAAAACTTGTAATTCCAGTACTTCCACAACATCCAGCACTAGGTAAGAGAAGAGTATACATAAATTGCTTTACATTATCTAAAAAAACTTGTAATTCCAGTACTTCTACATCATCTACGAGTACATCATCTACTAGTACATCAACTACGTACGTTCTTTTTTCATATGTTTAATAAAAAAGAATTATTTTAACATTGTAGGTCAACAACGAGTACTACGTCAACTACGTAAGTTTTAAATTATATTGTTCTTATCATAAAATCAATTCTTATTTCTTTTAGTTCGACAACATCAACAACGTCAACAACATCAACGACAAGTACTAGGTAAAAATTCTTGTTATTATTTATATAATTAACATTAATTTACATATATTTTGTTAGTACTACATCTACATCAACGACTAGTACTACAACAACAACTACTACAGCAACACGTTCGTATATGAAATCATTGATTAATAAAACAACAAAATATATTTTTATTTCAGCTGCACCTATTGATTGGCCAGTGATTGGAAGTATTATTGGTTTACTTGTTCTTGCTGCTTTAGCCTTAGCCACTTACTTTTGTTGTCGTTGTTGTTGGTTCGTTTGTTTTGAAATCGAAAATTATTGTTCTCTATATTATTATTTCTTGTTTTAGTATACTTGGTGATAGATTATATGGTTTGAAAAAAGAAGGTGATATTGAACTGTATCATATTGAACGATGTATGGATCCAGATTGTTCTTGGGCAAATCTATCGATTTCATCTAATACTATTACGCCTCCTCCAAAAAACTATTCTGTTTATCGAATATCAGATGATAGCAACTGTAGTAGTCCTATGTCTCCAACAATGTTATCATGTTCGTTTAACAACACAAGCGACTGTTTGATTGAAGATGCTGATGGAACGGATATGTTTGAACTTTCAACTGATAGTTTTTCTCCAATGCTTGAAGAGCATAATCGACCTAAATCAGTATCTGCTGTATCTATTAAAAAAGTCAAACTTAGTGATCGAAAATCTGCTTTAGAAAATCCAGGAATCAAATCACCAATTCATATGTCAAACGCTGGAATGGATGATTTACCTATTATCAAAACAGTGAACAGTGGAAATATGAAAAAATCACAAATTATATCTGTAATAAAACCAAGATTATTTAACTCAAACATACACCCGCAAATAAACAAGATAGTTGATTCTGATGAAGAGATGCGTCCTAAATCTAAAAGTACAGATAGTGTAAGGATTATTCGAGTAACTAATGTTACACCGAAACCATTAACTGATCAATCAACTGATGTTAAATCTACTTATTTAGATGGTAATGATAAAAATGATGAGCCATTTCGTTTATCTACTGATATAAAAAACGATAAAGTAAGTGTTCAACGTGTATCATCTGCTAAATTACCAAGAAAATCAAATGAACTTCGTGTATCACGAGTTGGTACAACTGATTCTCCATTAAAAACAACTGTATCGTCTATTCCGATTTCTCCTTTACCAGTTAAACCTAATGATGGGACACGAAATTCAGTTCACGTCAATCGTATATCGACAGCAAAGAAACCGACTATAACCTTAGAGAATGAAACAAATTCTTCTACATCAATTTCTCAATTAGCACAAAAAAGGATGAAACACAAAAATCCTAAAAAGAATGCTGTTGAATCGCATGTTACTATTGGACCACCCTCATGACAAAATACTGCATAATGAAAAACAAATGTTTAAATAAACTACTTCATTTTGATATTTTTATATAAATGTTATTAATTTTGTTTGAAATTGTTGTATATTGATTCTGTATCTATAATTATTTTTGGTTAAAAAACAAATTGAATAGTTAAATTATTCAATCTCTTATATAATATTCCAAATATTTTGTTTAATCTTAATCCAATATGATAGAAATAGTCTAATAAATAAATGACGCAATTCATCTCAGAATTTTTTCATAATAAACTTTCTATTTCGATCATATTGTAGATGTTCTTTGAAGGAAACAACAATATTTGTCACATGAGCAAAGTAACAAAAGATTAAAGTATACGATATAGTGCATCCCTTGTAATTCATTTCTTTTATGCATATCTATATCCCTGCTTATTAATAGAAACTATGATTGATTTTTTTTCTATTAAAATATTGAAGACATAGAATAACGCATAATTCTATTAAACTAGAAAGAATCTCTATTTTCATTATTAGTAAATTTCATTATGTTAATGAATTAGAAATTCCAATATGCGCATCGATATCTAATAATAAAATATTCATGTGACCTCTATTCTTTTCAAAACTGATTACTTCATTTATCAACAAATATAAATATCTTCTTTTTTTTTTTTATTTTATTTTAATAAAATGTCTACAGAAGAACGAATGTTTGATTTATCATTGATGAGTTGGAATATTTTAGCTCCTTGTTGGGTTAACAAAGATTGGTATCCATCTTTATATGAATTAGCTATTGATTATAAAACAAGATATAATATTATTTTATCAAAAATATCTTCAATGAATTGTGATATTATCATTATTCAAGAAGCACAACAAGATTTTATTTGTTTATGTAATGAAATATTTCATGATAATTATATATATGAATTTGCTCCAAATAATCCAACAATGAGTTCAATTTCTAATGGACTTTTAACATTAATTAATAAAAATTGCAAATATGCAGAAGAAATAAATATTATTAATGAAATTCTTGATTGTGAACGAGGAGAAGCAATTCAAATTATTTCTATTCATTCAAAAAATATTCATTTAATTAATTTACATTTAGATTATATTCATTCAATATCACAAGCAAAACAAATAAAAGAGAAATGTAAACAATTGTTAGATAGTTCAAGTTTAATTTCGATTATTGGTGGAGATTTAAATGCAACAAAAGATATTTATGATCAATTTCAATGGATTGAATATAATAATATATTTAATGAATCAATAAAAGATAAGATTATACCAACATATTATCCGGATTCATCTCAAAAAAATTCTAATTCATCTATTGATCATATTTTTTATGATCCAAAACAAGTTACATTGATTGATTGTGGAAAAGCTTGGAATGTTCAAAATCGATCAGCTGAAGAGACTTTAAGAATGTTTGGAAGTGATCATATTTATATTTGGGCGAAATTTTCTTTTATTTAACATATATATAGTAATTAATAGTTCAAATGTTGTTGCACAATTAGGAAAAGAATGAAAAATAAATCAAAGAAAAATGAAACAGAAATAATAAATAATTATCTGATATTTTTTATTAGTTTATAGTGACGTTAAAGGCGACATGTAAGCTTCATATTTTAGCTCCAAAAGAATTGTGGTGACACGCTTTTATCTTAGCTAAAACATGCTTTCTTGTAATTAAAACTGATTCGACATAATTTAAAATAATATGTACTTGGTTCTGTGCACCAATGATGACTGGGCAGGAAGTGACACAGTATCTAGTATTATTCTTATTAAGAGATTTAGGATCTTTCAATGATTGATACTAAATCGTTTCATGAAAATTAAAAAAATTCGAGAACATTTCAATCAAATATTTAAATATACTATATAATAATTAATCAACATTTTCAAAAGTAAAACTACAGAATTCAATCTTATATGTTGATAAATATATCCATAATAAAAATGAAGACATAAATAAAACTCAGAATGTGATCATTTTAATTATTTTGAATTCAGGGTTCCATTCATCCTCAAGATATCTTTTGTCATGTCACACAATATATAACCACTGTGTTAAAAACGACTTTCTTCTCATTACTATTTATTTTTTCTTACATTCATATAACGAATTCATCCGTTAAAAGATAATTAAATTTTGCTCGATTTGCCTCATTCCATTCATTAAAAGATTGAATTAGCACGACATTTGTTCTTTCTTCCCATATTATGTTTGATCACGAGTCAGTGACCAGAAATACAAAGTCCTTTATAATTTGTAATTATCATTTTTTTTCCTCAAAACTAAGAACTAACAGTATAATAGAGTCCATCCTTCCAAATTCAAACAACAGTTTATAAATGTTAAAAATATCGTATGTAATTATTTAAAATTTTTCTAAATGTTTATGTAAAATATCCAATAATAACTTGGATATTATATTTCTTTATAAACTTTTTGATACTATTGCATTATGCGTACTTGAAAAAAAAACGATTTAATAATGATAAACTATCCTGTTTGTTTATTACCTTTACAATATGTAGATACAATCTTAGTTATTCCACTATTAATATTATCGTTGTAATGATATCTTATTTAGTTTCGTCTTGCGATGTAAATGTTCTGTGAATGTAAGATTAATAATAATTCATAAAAGTATCTTTCAGGTAGCCTATGTCTATATGATATAGACATATTTTCCAGCGGTTTTACATTGCTCAGGAGACAATGTGTCAATCATTTGAATGAGAAATCTTCTAAAACGTATGTCTGACTTAGTCTCAAAGTAAAATTAAGACAACTGTCATGGATTGAATAGGAAATATAGTTATAAATAATATTGAAATCAATCTTTTTATCTATAGATTTATAAAATAACACAACGATGAACAGCACTAATATTGTTGTTAATAATGGTGATGCTGATCAGATTAGTCGCATCAATTTTATAAACATGATTATTTCACGATATGGCATAGGTATTATTTGGTTGATGGGTAATATTGGATCAGTTTTAACCTGTATAGTTTTTTATCAACCTACGTTCCGTAAAAGTGCATGTTCTATGTATTTCACCGCTTCAAGTATTTCACAATTACTGGCTTTCAATTTTGCTTTACTCTATCGAATGCTTCAATACGGTTACAATGTTCAAACTGTTACCACAGATCTTTGGTTTTGTAAGATACGTTACTATCTCTTCTACGTTCTTATTGCTAATTCACGTTATAATATCATTATGGCTTCGATTGATCGATATTTTGCTAGTTCTCGAAGTGCTCTTCGTCGTCACTGGAGTTCACCAAAGATTGCTCTACGTGTTATCGTTGGTAATGCAATTTTCTGGAGTCTGATGTATATCCAAATAATTATTTTCTATACGATCATAAATAACAGTTGTCAAGCTCAATTAGGAGCGTATGGAATATTTTTTAGCATCTACATTTCGATTGATAGTGGAATTCTTCCTGTATCTTTAATGATTATTTTTGGTTTATTAACTGCCAATAATGTTCATCGGACTGGTAAAACTATTGCACCGACCACACAGAATCTCAATAATAAATCTGTTCGACCTGGTAAAATTTCTATGAAAGATGTTCAACTTCATAAGATGTTGGTCAATCAACTTCTTCTTTTTATATTTCTCAATATACCAAATCCATGTTATCTGGTTTATCGAGTGTTTACTATGAATAATTACAAATCGTCACTTCAACTTTCAATTGAGACATTCGTCAGTAATATGACATATGTTGTTCTTTATCTTGGTTTTGCATTGACATTTGCTAATTTTTTCGTATCATCAAAGTTGTTTCGACGGGAATTTTTAAATGTCATTCAAAAAATAAAAATATTTCGTCGACCTATGCGACTCGTGCTCATTGAAGGAACAGCAACAACCAGAAATGGTCTGAGAAGTAATTCACCATAGATAAAATCAACAGTATGAAGGAAAACTGTATTTTGCTTAATGTTTATTATTAGTTGCTTTTTTTTGTATCTATCTATTTAAAACATATAACAATAAAATTGAATTCGAGGATGTGGGTATGTGTAGTTTTGTTAATATCTACACCCCCACTCTCAAGATTATTTTTGTTTATTGATTTTATTTTATTCTTGTTTATAATAGATTAAAAAAATTTATAAAAATCATCGTCGGAAGTCAATAAATCACTGGAGAAACTATTTTCTTAGGTAGTATCGCTGTTAATGACGCCAAAAAGATTGTAAAACGAGCATAATAATTTTTCGATGATCACTTCTTTTTATTGTAATCGAATATAGATCACTATCAAACTGAACAAAATAGTCCAGTCGATTCCTCGATGCATTGTTTTGGAAGAATTGGTCATTGTTGAAACTGTTGTAGTTGGTGCAGTGAAGCTAGTAGATCTAAACAAAATTATTTTAGAAAATATTTCAACTCTTAAAAATTATTATATTTTGTAATCATTATATGATGAAATATTAACTCACCCAGTGTTTCCATTCGTTGTCGAGACAGTGGTTGAGTGAGTAGTACTAGCCGCACTTGTAGTACTTTGAAATGTTTGTGGATATACATAAGGTGCATAATTGTATGAAATTGAAGTAGCAAAACCGACGCGATTCTGACCGATATCATAAAGTGAATAAAATCGTGAAAGAAAATAATCACCAAGAATCCAAACATTAGTAAGAGGTGAAACACCAAAAACACTGTAACAAGTAAAGCTTGATCCACTATTCACTATTATAAAATATTGAAGTACAGAAAGTGTAAATTGTTGACCACCAATTGTAAATGTAATATTTGGAAAACCTTGTTGAGTACGACTTGAACAACTTACAGAATACTAAATATATAAAAGTGGATAAAAATTTATGTTTTATATTGAACAATATGCTTATATATCTTACCAATCCTGTACTAGCATGATAAGTAGCGCCTAATGCTGCATTTAGTGCATTAATTTGACTAGTCGGTCCAAGAATTAAAGTTGTTCCAGTATCAGCAATAGCATTACAATTCGATGAACAAATCGTAGTAGTACTACCAGCAGTTATACTGTAATAAAGAAATTATGATAAATCAATCATTATTCTCTTTTATACTTGTTAGCATACCTATTCACTTTGAATTGCCAATAACCTTGCGTACTGACATTTACATAGGCAAGTGATCCTGTATACTTGCTTGTATCTGCACCGCCTAAAATTAATTCACCACCGGGCACCACTGATGAATCTCTAAAAGAGATTTTATTATAAAATATTCGAAAATTTGACAACAATAGTTATTTACAAAGAAATAGAATTAACTTACGGATTGAAATAGAAACTAAATACTGGTTGTGGAATTAAATTTTGCGCATACATATTATAGAATAAAGGTGTTTCACCACCATTTGCAAGATCTGGATATGCTAATCCTAAAAGACCATCAGAAACGTCATTGAAACCTGACATGTTCAGTGCTTCAGCAAAAACTTGATTAACCACAGAAAGACCATCTACCTAAATGAATATTAAATTTAAAAAATATTTAAATCTTCCAGATTTCTATATATATATATTTACTGTGACAGTATCGCTATCAAGGTAACCTTTAACAAAAGAACCATCGCCATAACTGATGGAGAAACTAGCACCATTCGCTTGATATGTACTAGACTTGTTTGCATTATATCTACTGTGGTTACCTGATGATAAATTTTGAAAAAGAAAAGAATATATATTTGATGATATTTTTTATCGTATAGAAACTATAAATGAAGCTTACCACATGAGGAAAGACATCGAATTGATGGAATCCACAGATCTGATGAACCTGTATCAAAATCGATATTAAAACTCTGTGGTGGTGTACCAATACTTATAGTTCCCATCCAATAGGACTAAAAAAATAATTGATTTAGTTGTTTTATAATATTTTCCATTTAATTTACATTCATTTCATTTATAAGATTTTCATCAACTGATGTTGCTTTATTTTGTATACTTGCTATTTTTGAACTAGTTGTGTCTGATGATGATGATGATGATGATGATATACGTTTGCAACTGATTCTAGAAAGTTTTATTTATATGATATGTTATTAAAAGAATAATAATAAAATTACTCAACAGTCATGCTGCATATCATAGTCTATAATCGAATTTTAGAACGAACTTTAAAATGAAGACGTACGATGACAAGAATAATTTTTTTCGATCATACATTTTCGTCTTATTCTCATACTGAATTAAATAGGTATCTTGAAAAATATTCTATTGCTCATCTTATCTATAACTACTGACTAATATTAATTTAATATTGAATTATATTTCAAATCTTTTCTTTGGCTCTTTTTAATAATATAACCAATGTCTCTCAAATTAATTGATATGTTCCAGATGTTATTTTATAGAGAAAAACAATACAATCTTACATATCCTGTTAATCATCATTCTGTTTCATATCAAAGCTTGATAGATTCACTTTTGGAACTGGAAATGCTTTATTCGAGATTAACGTTAATTATAATTTCAAAATTCTAATTTATTAGTCATTAGAGAAGTTCACAATAGAACAGAATATATAAAAATAGAACTTACCTTGTTAAGTCAGCATTGACAAATATGTTCATAACCATAAATACTAAATAAAGTTGCACGAGTAGTCGAAACATGATTGATATTTCTTTATCAAACTGAAAGAAAAACATATTTTACATCGATATATATTTACTAAGGTTGTCAGGTCATGAAAAAAATATTCGCATTTTCGACAACAACAGAATTTTTAATTAGTCTTTATAGGATTGTTGTTTGATCACAATAATAAGATGGGATTCATATTGAGTAAATAAAAAACGTACTTTTTTCAAAATAAATAATTATTCTATTTGATTAAAAAAAGATCATGCGAAATAAAACAAATATTTACGACTATGTAAGACTTTTGTTCATTTCTAATAACTTCTTTTAAATGTATGTTATAATTTATGTTAGAAAAAGACATTACAGTATCAAAGAACTTCCTATTTCACTATTAATACTTAAAACAATAGTCTGACATTACTTAACTTGACTTTATTAACGACAAAGAAAAAGGTTCAACTAATTTCATATAATAAATATTTTTTTGAAACAATGAGGAATATGCTTATTAAGGATTCTAAATCTAATACTTTTTGTAATTTATTATTTAACATTTCTATCAATGGCGTTTATCAATAGATGTTATATATATATGTGTCAATGCAATTATTTTTGAAGGGAAATTAAAATTTTATATTACAATATAAAATGTCTCATTTGATAAATTTTTTACTGATGTATCTGTTTATTGGATGCGTATAATATACTAACAAAAATCCTATAGATTTCTACTAATTATAGTTATAAAACCTACTAGATGGTGTACTTTTTATTTTCTTTCTGTATACACTTATTTTTGTATTCATGAGTAACGAGTTTTTTTTTTGAAAAGAATTTATTTAAGAAGAATTTCTACGGATATATTTTGTATGTATTTATTCTGAATAAACAAAAAATGTACTTTTTTTGCAAGAAAAAGTCATGGAAAGAGAACGAATAGAGAACGATGAATCATTGTATTATGTTGATATATTTTCTATGTGATAAAGTAGATTTTTCAAAGAATTTAAAAAAAACTGCTAGTATAGTCTCTTCAGGATTAAACTACAAAACAATACGAAGTCCATATTTAACGCTTATATATTTCAATGTCTCTTGTCAATTTTGACTGAGTATATTTTTGAAAAGTATAACTATGAAATAATTTCTATAGTGCATAACGATATTATGAACAGTTTTCTATCTTGTATGTACATGTAGAGATAAACGTAAATAAATTTTATATAAAAACAGACAGCAATGTTAACCTACTGGTAAACTTTCTAGTAATAAAAGTACATAATAACTGGATTTAATATGAATAGGATATTACAATGAAAATCATTTAATTTACATATGAATAGAATAAGTTATACGATTGAAGTGAGGGTGGGTAAGAGTGTGAATGTGGTTGTAGAATGAATATGATACTCATACCCATACCAAAAATATGATTAATGAATATTTCAATCTTTGTCAATTTTATTTTATTGAATCACTTTTATCAGTTACGATTGTGATTCTCTTCAAATTGTATACTCTTTTTTGTTTCTTACTGGAAAAAAATAGTATCATTCTCGACGATAGTGAATAATTTTAATAGCGAATTATTCAAAATATTTTTATAGGATCAATATCAATAATCTTGGACGTAAGTCAAACATATTTTCTATTCGATATGCATTCAATATTTTGAAGATGACGATGTAGATCTTAGATTTAACTTCCATTCATACTATCACTCACATGCATATCTTCAATATTTGTTTACAGATTCAATATCTTGTTTGTTATTCTATATGCCATATGAAAGGTTTATATTTCGATATTTTCGTTGTGGATGGATTTATTATCAATATATTTTTTCTTTCTTTATTGCTGTTAGACCCATCTATTACATCAATGCCGTTATATTTTCTTGTTTTATTTTCTACTTGATTGCGCACGTTTTCAGCAAGTCATTCAGTATGTAAGTACACGATAGAGATGTGCAGAGGCCCCCTACCCTGTCTATTCCTAATACTTACCGGCATACCAATATTTTGATGCGTAAATGTTAGCATCGAGTTTAGTGTAACCAGCTTGCCATAGTATATTTGTTGCTGTTATATATAACCGTACGTCCAAAACATTGAAAACTAAAATCATAATATTAAGTAGACAAGTACATGGTATTTATTTTAGTATTCGTATCGCCTACATATATTCACGCACTAAAAAATGTAAATCCTCATTTGCATCGTCAGCAAGTGAAACAATAGAGGTATCAGGCGAAGTAACATTATCAAATTGATTGGAAACAGTATCTTCAACGAGATCATCAACAGCTAGAAAGATATTTTAGTAAATACATAAACGAATTGATCTGTTGATCTACACAAGAATATAAAAGAACAATACTTTTCAAGAGAGTGGGAAAATGTTTTTTTACTTTTGAGTTTATGAATTCGCTACAGTTATAATACAAAAACATCTTTGAAAGTATAGTAATGACGAAAACATCATTGATACTATTTTTTTGAAAACTATCACTTATAAATTGATCAAACTGGTGTATGTAATAATTGTCTATTGTTCATCCATTATTACAAGGACATTTCGCGCTCTACGATGAGCTCGCAGGGGTTATAAATGCTGATTTGATCACACTATAGTATGCAAAGAAACCTATAAATAGTATATCTGAGTTTATATCGACATATGTTATATTTTTGAATGAACTACCACAGTGTATACATATTGATTAGAATTATTATAGAGAATTATATACGAAAGAGAATAATAAAACAAAGCAAGACGAAGAAGAAAAGAAAGATTTAAATAGTAGAATATTGTTAGCAACGAGCTTGCGGCCATACTCATAAAATCGTGATGTATCAGGTAAAAAAGAAAAAATAATTGGAATAATAACATATAAGTATAGTGTAAAATATTTGTATAGAAATATTACTGATAAGCAATGCTACTTTGTGTCACACAACTTTTTTATCCGAATAACTACAGAAAAATAAGTAGGAAAGTCTTTACTTAAATTATATACCTTTTCTCTATTCATCTAATGATGCTAACAAAAACAACAAAAACTAATCATAGAGAACGATTAAAACGTGATTTATTACTGAAACGTTCTTTTTCTTTGAAGTAATGCAGTACAGTATTCAATAACGCCTGAAACTTTACCGTGTGACCACAAAAACTACGAATAAAAAAGCAAATCTTACTACAGATATAATATACTCATTTTAGACGAAAAAATTGATACGTAGATGTAAGTATATTATATTCGCTGTTCACCTGTAATCATCTATACACGCAATAAAATATTATTGTAACTATTTTAAAATCATTGAGAATGAAGAAATGTAAATGCGGGCATGGAGCAGAGAGTAGACGAATTTATATAAACCTGAGTTCACAGCTGTACACTCTCTTATCCCATTCTCTTGTAATGTGTTCAAAGAAAATATATCGTTACAAATAACGTTGAAATGAAAAAAATGTAGAAGATAAATTGAGAAAGGAATTGATCTAAACACTAAACCAAGTGAATAGATAGATAGTGAATTCAGAGTAAACAAGACAATTATCGAAAGCTGAATAATATAAAATAAAATATATTAAAACGCAAGTAAATTTTCAAATCCTAAAAGATTAGAAGAATTAAATGTATCATTCATCGTTATGTCAAAATACATATTTTCAATTATTCTCAGTAGTATATAGTCCGAAAGACGTAATTCCGACGAGTTTTTAAAATAATGTCAATCAATCAAAAATGCACATAGATTATTTTTTTATATTGATCATTAAAAGAACTTTGTTTTTGACTTCAATCGAATACTGACAATATTTTTATTAGTATTTTTGATTATAACGTCGTCATTTTCTTGTCAAAATATTAGGAAAAAAACGTTCGATAAAATCTGATATGAAAGAATAATTTGCGTTTTTCATTTATTAATCATAAAATTAACCTAAAATAAATATATAATTTCAAGTAATTGAAGAAGCAAAATGAAAATATCTATTAATGACTTGTTTTTTTTTAATATTTATGCACGAAAATATTTTCATTTAAAGTATTTAATGTGCATGAAATAATATTTTGTTCAGTATAAAAATCAATTTTTTTCAACCTCCTACGTCCAAGAAAATATTTCTTTTTTCTCATTATGTTGTAGACCTGCCAATCAAAAAAAAATGTCATCGATGTTATCAGGTACTCTTGTGTTCTACCTACGTATTATACTTGTTTTTTTCCTCTCGATATGTAGGTAATCAAATATTTACATCACACGCGATTGTCAAAGAGAAAAAAACGTAGTAGGCTGTTAATATTCTTGTTTTCGGTTCAATAGTTTATCATAAAATTGTCATTTGACGTATCTTATAATGAAAATCAATGGACCAAATCAAAATAATAAATACTACCAACAGATGTATTTTTTATCACATATATAATAATTACACAACAGACTAGGTAATGTTTTGTTTTTTTACGAAATTATATCAATAGATTTTTTGAGTTTTGTCGCAAAAAATAAATCGAAATACACGATTAGAATAGAATTATTATATTCCACAGATTTGTTTTTTCTATAATAGTTTTATGAGACAATAAGATCGATTGACTGACAGACTAGAATCTCCTTTTTTATGCATGCATCAATAATTATGACATGATCTAGAAACGAAAAAGTACGGAATAAGTTTTTTTTTCTTTAATTTTGATTCGATTTTCTTTCGAAACAGATTTCCACATCTAATATTGAGTAACATTTTTTTGTAGTTTATGCAAATATAGTCGACTGCTGTGATAATTAATATATTAGCAGAGCTATATTTATATTAATTGTGATCTTCTCATATGTATTTCTCTTTCATTCACCTTGATTAATTTCTTCTTTAACAGGTAACATGTGTTTGAATTTTTCTTTAATTTCCTTATATAAAAGACTTGTCTGATGATTTGTTTTAAGCGTAGTTGTTTAACTTGATCGTGTCATTACCTTTTTTCTTAGTTACGAAATAACTATGAAAATTTCATTTTGATATTTACTCTTCTAGATGGAATATAATAAATTAAATGGATGGACCATTGTCCTATTGATTATTAGCATCGGTGGTATTCAAGCACATATATCAGAAGACGAGACTACAACAGGTAAGAATATTAGATTTGATCAAATAAATATTATTTTTAACAAAATAATTCTTGTTCGATATAGTTGAAAGATCATCAAAGAAGAATGTCTATGCATTGATTATGATTGATGTTCAATATTGTTTTATAAATGGTTCATTAGCATTATCGAATGGTCCTGCTGGTCAAGATGGTGCTGAAGTAATTCCTGTTATCAACGAATTAATTGATAAAGTTCCATTCGATGTTTTTGCTTACTCATTGGATTGGCATCCAGCAAATCATATATCATTCTTTGAAAACCTTGAATCTCGAAAGGACTATGTATTAGGTAGTGACCACGAGAAATATCAAATGTTTGATGCAGTTACTTATACAGGTCCAGGATCAGAAACAACACAAATTTTATGGCCTGCACATTGTATTCAAGATACAGACGAAGCTAAACTACATAAAGATCTTATTCGTTTACCAGCAGGAGACAATGTTGTCTATATAAATAAAGGTAGAAATCCAAATATAGACAGTTATTCAGCATTTCTTGATAATGATAAAATTGAGAAAACACCATTGGATAATGAATTAAAAGCACGAAATGTAACACATGTATTTGTTACTGGTTTAGCACTCGATTATTGTGTTGGATCAACAGCAATTGATGCTAGTAATTTCGGTTATAAAACATATGTTATTGAAGATGCATGTCGTGGTGTTGATGATATTGCAATTGAAGCAAAATTAAATCAGTTAGAACAAAATGGAGTAGAACTTATAAATTCACATCAAGTTGAACAGATTATCAACAGTTTGAATTCTCAGCAAAACGTCATCGATACTTGCTCATCTAATAAACGTTATGATATTACTGACGAAAATCAAGATGATATAAATATCAATAGTTGTCAATAATTATATGAAAATAACTTTTAAAGACTATACTCAACAATTTACAATTGAGCTATTATTTCATATTTATTTTATCTTCTTAATAATTTTTTTCTCATTTCGTTATATTTATGAACTTTTAATAAAGTCTCTTGTCAAGATCTACAACGATCATTAATTTCATTTTATTCATTTATATAGTATCAAATGAAAATCGAGAAGCTGTCTCATTGGAGAACAGTAGAATATCAGATTTGACATCGTTATACAATGATCTATCTTTGATTCGATTCATGTTGAAAAAATTGCATTTAATTTGATCAATAATTTTCTATGATAATACTTTTATAACGAAATACATATATCGTCGGATTTTTCACCATATCGATCATTAGAATTATATATTTATTCTTTGAAGTATAAAAGTTGAACATATGGTGAAAGTTATTTTTCCTTTTATCAACATCCTAACCCTTATCTGCTTCAATTATTTAATTGAATTTATCTACTTTTTTTATATAATATTCTTCACACAGAAAAGAACTTATTCTTGCTAGATTTCATTCAAATCATAATGTATTTACCTATGAAAATATAACATGTCACACACAAATTTTTAGCTTATGCAATCTATTTCTTATCTTAATAATAACTGAACTCAAATAACATTTAAAAAAAATTTCTTCGTTATAAAATAGACGTTATAGTTTTTCATAGACAAATAAAATATATAAACAAGCAATCTTCGAAGAAGAGAAAATCCATTAAAAATTATTTCACACGTGGGATGAAGTATACAAAAAAATCGCTTCGTCATAGTTTTTCTCGTTGATAGCAACTGCTTATACTACAGTGTAGTATCCAGCTAGACAATGAGGTTATGAATAAGGAGGATGATTTGAATGGATGTGAATGTGTACAAATTACAAAGCCTACATGCTTGTCTGCATTCTTATCGATATTTACCATCGTTTCACCTACGCTTTGTTTGTTCTTATTTTTCTTACATTTGTCATAGTATTACAAACATACAGAACAAAATTTTTTTTTTCTTAAATATTATCAAACACTTCCTTAGCGTTGTTTTTAATGACTTGATTTATTTCAAATCTAAGATCAAATATAACTTATAAGCATAGTTCTTAGCATAAAACTTTTGTCTATTTAACTAGGCTAAAAGTATTTAGAATATCCTTAATTCTATAGAGAATATTTATATAAATGAAATATGATTTATTCGTATCGTATGCATCTTACAATACACTGGTAAAAACATTCGAAAGTAAGTCTATTAGAAAAAAAATTAATTGAGAACATTTAGATTACGCAAATTAGTAAAATATGGTTTCTCGAGTTCTAAACAAAGTTTGGTATTGATTCAAATTGTTAGCAAAAATTCTTGTAAATATTTTTATCTGATTCGTTTTATTGAATTCTAATATAAATTACATTTATAAGTGAGAGAAAGAATATTAGATAAACGCAACGATCGACTATAGACTTAATAAAATATATTTATGTCTACTTTACAGAGTCAAGACAATAAAAATGTTCCACTATGTATTATTCATATTGGTCTTACAGAGTGTGTCTTCTCTACCATTAAATGATGATAATAAATTACTATCATTAATTTTAAAAGAAGATTATACTGATAATGGATATACAGTTGTAGATCCGAAAACAACTATATCGATTATGAATGAAAACCTTATATCGTTTGATCCATTAGTTTTGAATGGATATGATGTTCAACCATTAATTCGACAACTCATTGAAAAAAATCGAGAATCTATCAGTTTAACAATTGAATCAAATCCATCAAAAGGATATATTATAGATAAAGAGAAGAAATTTTTAAAATATTTCACAGAAAATGGTGGTGGATGGAATAAATTATATGAAGAAAATCCAAAAGTATACAGTTTAACATCCGTTTCATTACCCGTCTATGATAAACAAGCTAATTTAGTCTTAGTCTACAAAAGTTTTTCTCAAAATTTTCTTGCTGGTGAAGGAAATCTAATTATTTATTCATTTGATGATAGTAATGGAGAATTGAAAGAATTATCCAGAAGAATGATTTGGGTTTCATAACTGGGTTACAATGCAGCAAACTCGTCCGAGATCAATGAATCGCATTATATCATAATATGCACTTCTTTTGAATAAATCAAAATATAAACCTAATAAAGGCATGCCATTCTTATATCTAGAAGCATTATTTCGCTTATCTTTCAACGGAGTTTCTTTTATAAATCATCAATAGATTGAAATAATTTTCATTATTATAAGCGGAAAAAGTTGAAAATGATATATATAACATCATATTAACTTGATTCATTTGATACGAATTCAAATTCATAAACTAATTATATTTATTTATGATTCGAAATAAGTTACATTTAATTGAGATCGATTGTCTGAAAATGCTTGAAGCATAATCATATTTATATTTGAGCATACCTTCATATGCAATGTAATAGAATCTTGACTAAACGGAATAATACGGTCGCAATACTGAGACATGTAATACATTAAAGTAGGACGGAATACGCTACGACATCTGTATACTGTTCCTATACGGTCGTTTACGACAGACAATATTCGACCTGGGTTTAGTTGATCAATTAAATGATTTGGTGGATAGAATGTTCGAAATATGTAGCAAAATATCTGATGTATCACTAAGTTGCACCATTTATCTCACGAAGTTCAAACAAGTCATCAATGATTATATAGATGATTCTTTCGACAAGACAGATGTTGATCAAGCTACCCAGGTGAAAGGATACGGTGTCGTAAACGTCCTCAAACGGCGAGAAACGGCATTCGTTCACAGCCGTTTCCTGCACGAATTCAGCCGTTTTCTAGTCGTTTCCTGCCTTAAACGGCGCCGGAAACGGCCTTCAGAATCATCGACCTGGGTAGTTAGTAATGTATTCGGTGAATTTTCCAAAACAGCTACATTAACAATAAATTAAGTATTAGAATTATTATTGGAAAAAGGAAAGAGGAATTATATCGTGCATGGTAGTATCGATAGCTTTATTAGTGATTTAATTGTCCGTGAATACACATCACACCATTTTATCAAGTACATTGAAGGCGAAAATCATGTTGATCTCTCCATTAGCAATAAAAAAAAAGACGTGTTGATGAAATTGTTGCAATACAACGTACGTTATCGTTCAAACTCAAGTGAGAAAAAAAATCTTATTGTTTGAAAATTAGAAATATTTAAATATTATTTTTCACCTATGTACACTATCGATTATAACTGGTTATGAAGATTATGCTGTTATCACCGAAAAAGTTCTTCAAGTCATAGCATGTTTTTTTCCTTTCTTTTGATTGTTATTTTATATTTTATATTTTTATTTTGAAAACAAAGAAAATAAATGTGGAAGCTTCGGATTGTATCCGAGAATTACGTGTACTGCAAAAAGTGTATATGGAAATCATAGGAAAATATTAGTATTTTTGTAATAACTCGTGAATAGCCCAGCCAATTAAGCTCATCTTCGAACTCGACCGAGATCTTTATGAGTCTAAACTGTGTAGAAATTTCATCAATATCTGACTCTCCTTTCGCAAGATATCGTGTAAACGACCGACCGAACACACTGGCCGATTCCAGTAATATACTCACTTTTTGAGTACACTAAAAAGAGAGCACCCGCACGGACTAAGGGGCAGTTCTTTAGTGCGCTCAAGGATGAATTATTTTAGACAGATTGATCAACATCAGTCTATTGTGAACTTCACTTTTCGAGTACATACAAATAACGTTAACTCTACGGAGAACAAACGAATATCACACAGCCACACTATTAAGTTATATGGCTTTTTCATGGTTTTTCACAAGTGTGATACTAAAGACATATCAAACGCAGCATATCTACCCCCTATTATTTTACATCATTTTCAAGCTCTTAATGAGTTCTACCTACTCTAGAAAAAGTGTTATTAATAATATGAAAAACAAACAAATATCGCACTGACACATTATCAACGTATATGAATTTTCTGTATTTTACCCACCCTATTATACAGGGACAATCTTGTGTGCAACCAGTTTATCCCTATAATTTAGTACTATCTTGTAGCTTGTGAAATTCTCTATTGAATGCTTTATAATAAGTGGAATTTTATTCGACTCTGGTAGAAAAATTGCTTCCGAGAATAGCATTATATTATTTTTCATCCCAAAAGAAATATAGAAAAATCATAGGGAAATATCAGTATTTTTTCAATAACTCGAGAATGACCAGGCCTATTCTGCTCATCTTCGAACTCGACCGAGATCTGTATGAGACTGAATTGTGTACAAAATTTCAGCTCAATCGGACTATTCTTTCAAACGTTATCGTGCATACGGCCGGACGGCCACACTGACCGATTCTAGTAGTGTACTCACTTTTTGAGTACACAAAAAATAGAAAATAAAATTTCGATGAATCTAATTACTTGTCTCCTCATTGTCTTTATCAAAAGAGCAAAAATGAACGTTCAAAGGTTTTCTCTAGTCAATAAAATGAACGTTGAGGATGTGTTAAAACTTTTAAACATATAAACCAAGAATTACAAGAACATATTATTAAATAGTTAGGAGGATATTATGATAAATATCGGCGATTTTCTTATGATACAGATATACATATATGCATAAATAATGACAGAAATCTAATCCAAAAATAGAATATTGAAAAAAATATGAAACCTTTCATTATGTAAATGAAGTATTCGACCTATTTATCATTGAATTATTTTATAGATTCACTGTATGCAATTAAATATTTTTTTAAACAAAATAAACTTGATTTTTATTTATCGAAAAAAAACAAATGAAATAATTTTCTCAAATAGTTAATATTGTATATATTTAAGGATGAAGAAAAGTGCTATATTAACTTTATTTTTCATGTGTATGGGTTAATGCGTATATTTAACTTAAAGAATAATAAACAAGAAGAAAAAAAAAAGAACCCGATTAATTTGTAGTCCAAATTTCATCAACATGTAACTCTAACATTTCAAGTCCAGATAAATTTTGAACTTGTTTAATATAATACAAAAGATCACTTGTTAAAAGACCATGTTGTGGTCCACCATCATTAGCAATTCTTAATTGTCGTAAACGTTTTGCTAATAATTGTTTAAATATTGAATTAAGACGTGTGAAAAGCAAAATAAGATCACTAGGTGAAACAATACGTGCAACAGCATTATAAAAAACAGCTATATGTCGTGTTACAAGTGTACGAAAACAATCACTTGGCATTGGTGCACGAACTTCATATGATGATAATGTATCATCAAATGCAGTTTCAATTATTGATATTAATTTCCCATGAATTTCATCAATATGTTCAGAATATAATTTTGTTAGTTGTTCAAATTGTTTATTCGATGAAATTGATGATATTGTTGATGAAGATTCAGATGAAGTCTTTAATAGAAAAAAAAAATAAAAAGTTAATTTATTTATAAAATCGAAAATTTCGATTAGGAATGACTAATCTATTAATGCAGGGGATTTCATAACTACAGAAGTTATCATTTTGTATTTTAAAACTTCTCTCATATAACGAGATCTATGCAGATCAAGAATGAATCAAAAAAAGTTCGTCTAGGGAAATCTATTGAAAATCAGAATAATTATACAGAGATGGGCAACTCCGAAGGTGAGCAACTCCAACTCCACTCTAATTCCATTGGATTTTTTTAGGTTTCACTCCAACTCTAGGTAAAAAACCGTCAACTCCAGAGTTGGAGTAGCCCATCTCTGGGCTGTAAATCAAAGATGATCTAATTGTAACACCTGTAATTGATCAAAACGTAATTTAATTAATGGTAAAGTAATTTTAATGAATTGTAAACATCTACATGTAATAGCAAGAATTTTAGCTGAAATCGTTTTGATTCTTCCTAATCTAACAGCTCCAGCACCTAATACTAATTGACATGTTTTTGAATTAAATAAATTAAGTAATTCAATAAGACGATGTTGAACATCATTTATTGATGATGAAGTTAATAATTGTGCACATGAACAATAATCAAGTACTAACATAAATAAATGAAGAGCACTATTTGATAAAACAAAATGTTCATTTTCAATAATTAATGTATCTGAACCATTTGGATTTATTGAAGATGTTCTAGAAAAAAGTTCATCAACTGAATTTTGAATTGAACGTGGCACAGCAACCTACAATAAAACAAATATTTAGTTTTATATATTAAAAAAATAATATCGTAATAATAACCTGTTTCCATTGTTCATTATCTAATGTATCTGATACACGTTGTTTTCTTTCATCATGAAAATGATTTAAAAATTTACTTGTTTGAGATTGTAAAAATGTTTTTAATGGTCGTGAATTATATTTTTTTTCATATTGATTTATTTTTAAAATAAAATTATCAATTAATTTAACTATTTGAGCATATTCATCAAGTGTTAAACGTTCAACTTGAACTTGATAACGTGTACATTCTTGTGTTAAAATTGTTATAAGACGATCTTCAACTGTATCATATAATTCATATAATAAAGTTATTATAGATGAATTTGTATTTTGTTGATGTTTCACAAGTGATTCACTTATTAATTGACAAACATTTGAAAGACGATTAAGACCTTGTTCAGTTGATGTTAAAACAATATTTATTAATCGAAACCAAGATATAAATGAACTTGAATTTGAATTTATGGTTGATGAATAGATGTAACGAGTATTGGAAGAATTTTCATCATTTGATATCGATTGATCACTAAAATCAACAATATTTTTAATCTTATGTATAAACGAATTATCGACAAAAACTAAGAATATGCAATGAAAATATGTATAACTATTCAATATTTTTAAAATCTCATTATAACAAACTTTGTCAAATATCTGTAACTATTTTGTCTCTATAGTCATTTATATGTATTGTAAAACTACCTGTTATTTTTTACAATTGTTTTGTTATATTTGTCAAGATTATTATCTTTTGAATTTGATGTTACGGTTTTTTCAATAATATCAAATATAAATGATTCAAATTTCGAACGAATTTCATCAATATATTTTTCATCTTTAACTCGAATTAATCCAATGAGCATTGTTGTAAATTTATCTTCTTCAACATAATCACTTGTTAATGGTAAATCTAAAATCAATCAAATTTTTCTTAAAATAAAAATTTTAATTATGAAAAAAAAGATTTTACCTTGTTGTGTTGTTAAATGTTGATTTAAAGTTTGTCCAAATTCTTGTCTCATAAGACTAATATTTAATTTATAAAGTTCACTTAATTGTGTATCAAAAAATCTCAAAGATGATAGATCATTTAATTGTGTTGATATAATATCTCTTGTTTGATCAATTAAATCTAATGCAGATAAATAATCACTTGTTGTTAATAATGCTTGAACTTGCATATGTGTTTGTTTAACTATGGATAAAGATTCTAAACGTTTAAGAAGTTGTCGTTGATTTTGTCGTTGACGAAGTAAACGATAAAGACGAAGTAATGTTAATAACGATTGGTTATCATAGTTTGATAATTCACAACGAAGTGATGATATTGCATGACGTGTTGTATTTAAAAATGATTGAATTTCATCATGAGAACGAACAGCATCATGAAAACAATGGGATTTTGTTGATAATGCACGTGTTATTAATAATTCAACTTCATCTAAATAATGGGTATATTTATCTTGTAATAAACGTGTCGCGGAACTTATTGAATGTTTTGGTGATGAACTGTTCGACACTGTATTACTAAATTAGTAGATAAATATATTAGTTTATTTTATTTTTCCAACGGAAGTCTTTTACAAATTTCAATTATAAAAATTAAAATAAAAATATATACTGAGAAACTATTTATCAGAAACATGTAATAAAAGGACTTTTTTTATTGACTTCGTGAATACGAGTGTTGCTTTACCTTTATATTATAAAGACAATCTTTATTCGCAAAAATAAAGATAAAATAAAGAATAAAGATTTATTTTCTATCGAAACATACTTTTTCTACTATGTGACATATGGAAATGTTGATGATGATAAAAAAGAGTATCAATAAATGTATTCTGTTGTTATACAGGATATTTGCATATGTACTTACTGCATGAGAAAATATATCTTTATTCTTTATTTATAAAGTAAAGATGAAGTAACACCCCTACTTTTGATAGAAAAGAATAATTCTTAAACCCGATTCATCAGAATTAGTTATCTACGTCTAGATATTTCTAAGTAAATGCTGGATATTTTTCTACTATTTTGATACGATTGTTCTTCTTTGTATGAATGATCGAATAGATCGAATGTGAAAACTAACCTAACAGAACCATTTGATGTTGATTTTGTATTATTAGTTGATGAAGTTGATTGTCTTCTATTATTTCCTTCTGATTTTTCACTACTTGTTGATGTTGTTCTTGATTTTTGTTGTTGTTGTTGTTCAAAATTAGTTGGAGATAATGAGCGATTATTTGGAATCATTCCTGGGAAAACCATATTAAATGTTGAGCTATCACTTAAAGTAAATTGTGATGAAAGAAATAATTGTGGAATGTTAATAACAGGATTTGTTTTTTGTGGAAGATTAGTATCATTTGATGATGGTTGTCTTAAATGAGGTCGACCATATTTTTCACTTTTACGTAAACTTTGAAAATATGTTTCAAAATCACTAAGATTATAATCACCAAGACGAGCTAATGGGTCAGGTAAACGATCAACAAATGAATTACCTTTAACAATAATAAAAATAATAGTAAAATAGAAAAGAAAGTGTAAGAACAAACCCCATGCTTTTGTAAAAAATGTTGAAATTTCTGCACGTGTTTTTTTCGGATCATTTAAAACACAAGCTAAATTAGATTGAAAAACTGGAGCATTAGAAGATGTTGCTGTTGTTGTTGTTGTTACAGAATCTCCATCTGTTAATTGTTTTCGATTATTTGTTGAAGATGCCAATAAATGGCTCATTGTTAAACTAACCATGACATTGATTAAGAATAACAAGAAAACTAAATCTAAAGTATAATAATACAATAATTACATTGACATTTATTTAGATTCTTTTATAAAAAGAAACAAAAACGAAATCAGATAAGAGAGAAAAAAAAACATTTTTAATTATTATTTTGTTGTCCTGTTGTTCCTTGATTTTGTTGTTGTTGTTGTTGTTGCTGTTCATTCGATTGTGTTGATTCAGTAGGAGCTACTTTAGGTTTAGGAATTTTTGATAAAATTTCTTTTAATTGTTTTCCATCATTCGGTTGATCTGCATCATATGTTGTTAATAAATCATAATATTTAAGTAATAATTTCACAACTTCATAAATTCTTTCAACATCAATTTGTGCATCAATCATATATTGTTTAAGTAATGCCATTTTATCACGATATGTTGCAGCAAGTAAAAGACAAGCAAGAGCTATTTCATATGGTGGATATAATAATGGTGCATCTGTTTTTAATGAATCATTTATTATACGCCATGCTGTTTCAAATAATTGTTGATCTATTTGAAATTCACGTGTATACATATCTAATGAACGATATGGATGATAGATTATTAAACAACAATCCATTATTTCAAGTAAATAAAATTCACATTCAAGTATATGTTTGATTTGATAAGGATATTCATTTGGACCGCCTAAAATTTTTCATCAAACATTCTTTCTATGAAATATTTTAGAAGAAAAATAAACATACCAAGTAAATGTGTATATTTTTTATAAGTACTTGCAGCTGCATTACAAACACGTTGATGATTTAATGTCGAAAATTCTTCAACTTTAGCAGCAAGAAATAAACAAGTTGGACAAAGAAGCCATGGATCAATACTTTTTAATGGATATCGAGCATAGAATCTTTTTAAATAAACAATTCCTGTTGCTATAACTTGTTGGCGAACTTTATATTGTTCACCAATAGATTGAATTATATTCGAATAAAAAATAAGAATTTTCGAATAGTCATCTTCTGTTATTGATGTACCATTATTATTTGTTGACCATGATGATATATCACGTAAACGAACTGACATTAATTCTTGACGATCAAATAACCATTGATCAAATTGAGAACTTTTCCAATAAGAAGATGCCATGCTTATCTGAAAAAAAAATTTTTTTTTTTACAAATACAAACATTCATTTATTTTCATCATACAAAAAAGATATAGACATGAAACTACCACGAAGACGATATTGTTTGATAGGCAACAATTTCAACCAATGAAAATTCACCATTATAGAGAGCATCAATTTAGGGGAAAATATTGTTCAATATGGTTGACGATAGTAACGAAATTTTTTACATCTATATGATAATGTAGAATCATTTATTCTTAAGATGTCATTATTTCTACCAAGCTTTTACAATCTATTATAGATTGTTCAACTTCTATATAGTATATATAATATATTTGACATTAACTCTTTCAATGATAATTATCGATTAATACTTCTTTTTCAAAATGACTGCTTTTAAACAGTAAACTCTATCTTTATCGACATATACATATATATAATTGTGTCAGCCTGATGACATCATGAATAATTATATATTTATACAGTTTGAAAAAGATGTATGATATAAAAATAGTTGACATAGAAATGTTCACAACAAATACATCAATTGATAGAAAATGTTTATCCCTGTGCCATTATCTGATAGAGTACGATGAGAATTTCTTTTTTGAATTTTGACTTTAGGATTAAATGCAATGTTCTATATTCGTTTTTCTATCGGTTGAGTATAATTCATATATGATTAATGTTTTTTTTAATATATTTACATTGATAAATAAAATACTAAGAAAACAACAATAAAAGAATATTTTTATTTATATCCTTTATCGGCAAGTTCTTGACGAACACGATTTAAATATGTTGGATCAGGATAACCAAAACTATTTGAAAAAAAAATAATTTCAAATGAATGATTTCAATAGATAATTTATTTACCGATCCGGTCCTCCACTGATACTTGTTTTATGATGAATATCATTCCATGTAATAACATTCTCTTGACCAGTTGTTGTTGATCTTCCTATTGTAAATATATGTTGATCTCTGAATGCTTTTTTTAAAAGATCTAAAATGTCTCTTCCTTCTTTTATATTTGGTAAATAAGCTTTACGTGTTGTTCCACTATAAGGTTTACCAGGAGATGGATTAAGAGGTCCTTGAAGACCAGGTTGAAATGAATAAGTTATTTCAATTGTTGGTAATCCAGGATTTTCATATCGTTCATTTTCAAATCCAGGTAAACGTACTGGAATATGTTTAGTTGTCATATGACCATTAGGAGGTTGAGGACCTTAAGAATAAATCATTTAATTCTTTTTTTAAAGATTAATTTTTTATAAATTTAACCTTGAGAAATTCCATAAACATATCCACAACTTGGACATGATTGTATTCCATTAGATTGAAACCATTGATCAATACATACTTTATGAAAAGAATGACCACAAACATGAAGTTTACGATAATGTGAACCTAAAGGTTCTAAACATATCATACAATCACCAGATTCTTCTGGTTTTGAATTATTAGGTTTTTTAACTTTTGATGGTTTTACACCTAAATTAAAATAAAATATACGAATTTATTATTTTATATAAGTACGAATATTAAGTGCCGTAAGAAATTAAATTGACTTACCCATGCTTCCTTTTTTAAGCTTGTCAACATTTAAACTACTTTCGTTTTAGGAAGAAAAGAAATGAAAAAAAAGACATTCAATGACTCATTTGACTGTAGTTTTGTCAATAACAGAAGTGTGTTTTTGTTTCTCTTCTATTTCTTAAAAATATTTGTGAAAAACAACAACTGACCTATAAGTGATTGTTGTTCAGGATCAAAATCTGATTCCGATAGTTCAATTACATCCGGTTTTTCATTAGATTGAATCATTGCTATATTATTTATCTTGGATTTTTGAATTTCTTCAAATTTCATTACCCACGTTCGACATGTATACAGAGTACGTTGCTCTTTTGATGAAAGATCATTAAGAAGATTTCTATTTGCAGAATTGAATTTACGAAATTGACACAAAATACATCCTTGTGAAAAACATTGTGAACAACGATTATGATGATTTGGACATAAAGATGGATGATCATTGGAATTTATAGCACTACAACAAACTAATATCATCATAAATATCAATCTTATCTATGAAAATTATTATTGATCTATTTTTTCTTATATCATTTCAAAACCAAAAAACTATCTATATTTTTTCTATTTAACTTACCAGAACAGATTTTATTATCACGTATAAATTGTTCAGCATGTTTATACCAACAAAATGGACAAGTTGAATGACATATTTTATCATTTAAAATACATGTATTACAAATAATATGTCCACAATTAATTAATTTTCCACGATCAATATTTGTTTGAGAACACCAAAGACATTTTCGATTCAATGAAGATGAACTAGAATCTGAATACTGATTATTCATCTAAAACAAATAAATTTACATATATATATATATCTGTCAAGTCGAATGTTATAGACTCTATCAACGGTTATATACGAACATTTACATGGTATAGACATTCTGTATACGAACGTATTTTCCGCTTTTACATGGTACAGTAGTACCATACACATATTTTTCGTATACGGTTCTTTACGACAGTACTATTTTCTGTGAGCGAGCGTAAAGGACCATATTTTGACTCTCTTTTTGCCTACCCCTACGTGATCAGATACTAAACTAAAATACTCTAAAATAAACGAACAGAATATAATTATACGAAAATACTTACTTTCTATTTCTTATCACATTTTGAAAATAATAATCTAAAATTAAAAATAAAAAGAATTATTCTATAGTATTTAATATTCATTGATCTTGTACAATTATATATAAGATACCGTAAAGGATTATTTATGACCATGGATGTTCCACTTGAGCACATATTATAGACCCTGAACTTGTAAAGCAAGCAATGACAGAAAAATGAAACAATATCAAATGTCCTATGATTGGTAATCTGATTTTTGTCAGAGGCTTGAGATAGCTTTTATGTGAGTAAATTGATAAAATTATTCTCTGTTGAATCATATTTTGAATTTTTTCTTAAAAGAAAGCAAGTAAGAATAGAGGGCGCTATTGTTTGATGTTATAATAAAGTTGCTTTATGAGTATATAGAGAACATACAATATTATTTGATAACTTCTTGCATCTTGAAGGTGAATGTAAAAGTGTAGAACAATATCCACATTTATTCTTCTAATGAACAATTCGATTAACTAACCAATGCTTTCTATTTATTTCTTTATTTATTTACATATATAAATCAAAAACAAACAGTTGTTGAATAAATAAATATATGTATGTTTGTTAACAGTAATATTATAATTGTCGCAATAGTTCAAAGCCTTTGTTAACTTCTGTTTGTGTTTCTTTCAAAAGTTGTATAAAATCTTGTCGTGTATTATCATCATCGGATAAAATTTGAGCCATCTCTTCAATTTGTGGATAATTTTGACTTAATTTTGATAGTACGTTACGAATATCTTTTAAAGCCATCTTCATATGATTTAATTCAGCTTCATGTTGTGCTACATGTGCTACGATTGTTGGTGCTCCGGCGGCAATAGTTATCACTCCTGTTGAGACAAGAAACGCTTTTATGTCTTTTGTAAAACCAGTACTCGAATAAAGACCATATACCATGCCGATCCCGAAAGCACAAGTGCCAATAATTGTAAGAAGACCAAGAATATTTCTCCATCGTTTAAGTGTTTGTTGATATTTTAGTTTTTCTTCAAGAATTGGATTGAGTTTTAAAAACTTTTCTATCAGTACTTCAACATTTGAACACATGTCACGTATTGTTTGAATATTAATTGATTCGACCAATTCCTTTGCTGTTCGAGCGCGAGCAGCTAATATTAATGCTCGTGTTAAAAACTTTTGGCTAGCCATCAATAATTTGTGATATTCGATAAATGTATCGTAGATTTGATTTTGATGTTCTGGACTTAATAATGATAGTAGAGGTTTCAATGCATCTTGAAATTCTACAAGAACTTCACTTGATGTTCGCACAATATCTCTCATTCCAGCTCCAACCGTATGAACAACATGTCGATAATCATGCGTTATAACCTTTGAATCGTCATTAGCTGCAACTGTTGCTTTTCTTGTTTGCGTATAAGTTATGGTTGCCATATCCTAATATCAGTATAAGAAAAAGCATAATGTTTATATTTTTCTCAATTCAAACATATCGAATTATATTAGACGATAAACTAGAAATTTATGTTTGTATATTTGGTTTAGATGTGAGAAACTAAGCCAATAATGATACTGTTATATCTCTTTCACTTGGGAATTGTCTATGAAATAAAACGTCCATAAATACTATTTTCGATAATCATCTATTACTCAGTGTCAATAGACTCTTGAAGATCCTTTTCCAACATAGTCAATGAATAAATGGATATAATTCTAAGCAAAAGTTAATCACTGAACTTTTTTTTGTATCTTACCTTAATAATGACTGTTGAGCTATAAATTATTTGACTAATAATATGGTTTATGTTTTTATGAGATACTTCTGTTTATATAAAATAAGGAATGGGAAAAAACCCAGTCGTTTAGTGAACGAAGAAAAAAACAACACATTATATGAACACTCGGAGCTTCTATTAGTCTGTTCTCTTTCCTATCGAGTGAGATGCGACAAAACGATGACTCATCATTGCATTGGCTTCTATACTTTGTCTTTTTTCCAACTCATTATTATTGATGTACGACCAAAATACACATGCTATCATTCTGCAGTGTATATGAGTATTGTATTTACCACACCCTCAACACATAATGAATTTATCCTTTGTAAATCAGTTTTTATGAAATAAAATCATACTAAGTTCCAAATTTTTATACGAAACAATAAACGTAATTTTGATTTGGTATATATTGCTAAAAAAAGACAGGAAGTAACAGAATAATTGATTCCATTTAAGTAAAGTTTCTTTTAAATCTAGGAAATTTATATTAATTTCATTACATTAAAACAATTTGTTCTAAACGTTCAATCACATTCTGCTTCTAAACATCCAATATTACCATGGTATATGGGTGCAGTTTTGGATGTGGATATTGGAATGAGTATGATACACCCTCACCTATCCATCCTTCACAGTCGTGCTGGTTTCAGTAAAGAAAACGTCGAGTTTTAGTATTTTTGATATTCTGACAAAATTAGTTTCAAAAATAGAAGTTTATGAAGAAGTTAAATGAAATCTATAATTGACATGAAAAACTAGAAAATATTGTTTATTGAATTTTTCTCAAATTCATCAAAGTCGAATGTAATTTTGCTTGCTTTATAGATTCTATCGGCGTTATCGATCGAATTACATCTCTTTAGTTGGCAATAAATTTTAACAGTATCGTAAGTTTGTTTTCTAGTTGGGAAGTCAAAGGACACAGAACGCATTGCCAGATTCGTGATGCTTTTGTAGTCAGGGCATGATTGACAGACTCCTGTATGAAATGGATCATATCTTGTAACATCACCATAGCATCGATGACATTCGTTAATTTGAGTCCGATCACAATATGTCTCATTTTGAAATTCAAAGCATTCAGCTGATTTTGCATCGAATGGAGAGATAACCTTGAGTATTGGAGATATTTCTTTACGAAATTGATCTTCAATAACAAGTGAACGAAGAATTTGCTTGAGACTATTTTCATCATTACATTTATCTCCAGTGTGACAAGACCATATAACAACATTTTCCAATATTGGAGACTCTTGGTCAGGTAAAACTCTTGTAATAATCGCCGCAGAAACATCTCCTGTTAAATCAACAGTATTTTTCTTTGACGCAAAAAAGAAACCATTGATCGTCAGTTGAGTGCTATTGACATTTTTATTCCAAAACACGCGAATATAACATCTTCTGCCTTCAACAATTTCACATCCCGAAAACGAAGGAACTGTTTCGCTTGTAACAATATAATTAACAACAATGTCTTGTTTACACGAAAGACATTGTAACGATGAAATAAACACAGGTGATGTTGAGAGAAGCAAAAGTAAAACTGTAAAATACTGCATAATCATGCACGTTTAGTAAAAATAATGAATATGAAGTTAAATGCATGTTGGCTTCCACTTTTATTCTTGAAGCTTAGATAAGAGCTATGCCAACAATAGATAGAGAATGTGCGTGTTTGTTAGATGTTTGTCAAAGCTGACGCATATTAATAATAGATAAGTGAGATCTACAGTTCTTGAAACGAAAAAAATGTTCTTACCTTTGTTCTATATAATGCGACTGTAATTGTTTATGGTAGCAAATTTGACCTATATTGAGATTTGTTTTAGAATAAAAAATGAATCGAATGCGTCGATGGCTAGCAACATCGTTAAGATAGAGAGGTATGAATTCTACTGCTCGAATCGTCTAACAAATGAGCATTTGATAAGTAGGAGTGTTGATGTGAATGAAGATGAGACTATAAATATGAATTATAGACTGATCTTTCACTCACATTCATACCCATTCTCAAGAATTCTTGTTAGAATGTGAATAGAAAGATAAATGTTTATTTAATAGGCAAAAGTTTAAGTGCAACATCTTCACAATGTTCAGAAAATCATTTGTTAAACAAAATAAATCGAATAGAAGAGCATATAAAGTGTATAAACGGTATGAAAAATCAGACAATATTGTTTGATGTAATTTTATAGAATTCATCAAAGTCAAATGTAATTTTGCTTGCTTTTACAACTCTATTGATATTATCAATTGAATTGCATCTCTTCAGTTGGCATGTAAGGACAATTTCATCTTCCGTTCGTTTATGAGACTTTAACTCAAATGAAGAAGAATGATATGCTGAATTTGCATAGTCTTGTGTATCAGGGCATGTTTGACAGAATTCTACATCATTTGATGAAAGATCATTGCTAGTACTACCATAACATCGTTGACACTTATTAAGATCTTTTTGAGGACAACTAGATGTACCATTGTGAAAGTCAAAGCATTCTGCCGCTTTTGAATCAAATGGAGAGACAGTCTTAAGAAGTGGATATATTTCTTTACGAAATTGATCTTCGATGACAAGTGAACGAAGGATTCGCTTCAAAGTTTCTTCATTGTTGCCTCTATTAATTGTTGTGCAAACAAATACAAGAGAATGTTCAAAGTTTATGTGCTCCTGATGAGGTACAACTTGCATTTTCACTCCTGTAGCAAGAAAATCGGGAGTGTCTACGACATTTTTCGCTGATGACATAGATGCAAGATCGATTACGATCAAAGTTCGATTGTTATTTTGATCCCAAGTGACTTTCATATAACAAACAGACGCATTAAATAACTGACAACCAGTAAACGTAGGAACTGTATTACTTGTCACTATGTAATTAAGTACAAAGGATTCCTTGCAAGAATAACATTCTAATGATAAAACTGGCATAGATAATGTTGAGAAGATCAACATTAGAATTGCGGGATAAAACATGATTTTGTCGTTTTTGTTAAAATAAAATGTGTGAAATTAAATGCATTATGGTTATTTCTTTTCTATATGTAATCTAGATAAGAACTGCACAAACGATAGATAGAGAATGTGTTTGCTTGTTAGATGTGTAGCAAGACGATTATATTTTAACAACATGCAAGTAATATTAAAAGTTCTCGAAAAGAAAAAAATGTCCTTCGCTTTGATCTATATAATGACTGTAAGTATTTCTGTGAGAAGAGAAAGTAGGTCGAATATTTTGATGAGTAACACTATACTTTTATGGACGTAAATGTGAGGAAATAAAGCATCTTAAGGATAGGTTTGGTGGCGGTTAAAAAAGAAATATCTTTTCTCATTGAATCCTTAAAACTATCATGAAATTTAATTTTAAATTCGATTAGTAAATTAGCGACTCTCCTAGTTATCTACGCCACTGAATTTTCTGCAGATTTCTAGACTAAAAAAGATTGAAGAGATTTGAAATATTGGGTAGGAGTCCATGTTCGGTATTTATGCTTCTGGTCGAATAATGGAAAAAAAGAAAATATCCGTTTGTAATATAGTTTTAATTATATTTAGTGTGTTTTTATTAATAAAAAATACAACATAGAAGAGATTCAGATTTGGAAAGAAATATGTTACAAATATTTTTGGTTGTAAGTATCACAGAAACCGTTTGATTAAAGAAATCTGGAATGTTTGTTACTCGGACAGCACTTTAGCATTGCTTTTTGATGGATATGCAGGTACAAAGTTCACTTCTTCTGCGGTCTTCTCCGCTAACAGTTGCTGTGGTGATTTATATTTCCTTTTGCATGCTTCTTCAATCAGTTTTTCTACCAATGTCCAATCATAATCGCTCGTTGGTGCGACGACAATGAGATCGTTATTTTTATCAAAAGAAAGCGACTTTAGATGATATTCAGCTTGAATACGGTTGATATTCACACCTTCTTTACCAATGAACAGGCCAATACCATTTTTTGGAAATGTAAAACGTCTACCATTTTTAGGCAAATCATGATTGGGTGCGACATTTTGTGAGCGTGTATATGCGGTGATAACTACCCCATTTTTGCTCACCACCTTATCGATGTATCCATTGATATGACTGCGTGGTTTCAAGAGTTCTGCAATAGGAATTTTTCGTTCTTTCGCTCGTTGAGCCGCATGATGGCTCAAGCGAGGTATATCAAGACAGAAGTCACCATCAGAAGCATCCATCCATCTTTTGTATTTTTTGCCGTTGCCCATCAGTTTGTTGCGAAGATAAAGTTTCTTAAGGTAATAATGCAGTTGCAAAAATGTTAGATAAAAGTGTTTTGGTACTTCTTAAATAGTGATGTGTTCTTCTTCTCTCTTATATACTGTTCTTCTTCTCTTTTGTCGTTCTTAGTATTTTCCCTACGATATATGTGAGGGACTTTTCCTTTCCTGTCATATATGTGAGGAATATTTCCTTACGTTTTCTTCTTTCTTCACACATATGAACCATTCCCTTTTCTCCTGTCAAGGTTTCACAGATGACGTTCCCTTCTTGCTCGTCATCACCTAGGGAAGATTCCATGTGTGGATAGTTTGCCTTTGTTCACTGTCATCTATATAAACCAACTGATTCCAATAAACGAGATCAACTGTGGGAGTCAGGATCATCTACGCCAGAGTTATAACCGATTCGGACCGGCGAAGGAGGTTGAACCGGGCGGTTCTCATCGGTTTTTACTGGTCCATTTCAAGTAGTTAAACCGGTCAGTCTTTGCCGGTTTAACCATTTTTAGAAAAATCCACATGTGAATCAATAAATAATTAGTTAGAAATTAATCATCTTGATTGATTATTTCATGAGGAAAAGAATTACAATTTTTTTTTTTCTTTTTTCTTTTCTTTTGAATAAAATGTTCTATTAGTCAATGCTCGTGCAATACAAATTCTATATTTAGTTTACGAGCGGCCTTGCTGACCTCCAGAATCGCAGAACAGCATTCTTGAAAAGACAAATGTAGAATTGCATATACTCAGAAAATAATTTAAGATAGAATAGCAATTGTATTAGCTGTAAAAGTTATATGAACTTCCCGGTTTTTATCGGTCCAGAAAGACTTTTAGATCGGCCGGACCAGATCCGTTGAGTATTTTCCGGACCGGTCACATCTCTAATCCACACACTACACGTTTTATCAGAGAAACTACGTCTCAAAGTACTTCTTCCAAATATACACACTGCCTCACACTCACTCGTTTTTTCCGGTAAGCAGTATGTGTATAGGGTGTGTGTATTCCGAAGAAGAACCAATCATTCAAGTATGCACACCCCATCTATCGATATATATATAATAATATAATAAACAGAAAAGAGTAAAAAAGTATATTAGTTAATATTTTCTTTCAATCTAAAACATGCACGAACAGATGACGTTGCACTATGAATATGTTACTGAGGATATCAGATGTGAGAATGTTTTATGGTTTATGCAAGCTTGATGTTGGGTGTGGGTGAGACAGTCGATGATCAAAAAACGAGCGTTTACCAACCCACAAATAATCATAATCCCGTCAACACTCACATCTGCAAGATAACAAACTATTGCATCCGAACGTGTAACGTGGCTACCAAAAAATCCACCATATTTTTCCAAGATCATAAAACGGTAGTATGATATGCAACGAACGAAATAAAAACAAATATTGAACTAGCAATTGACAGTATATAAAAGAAATACGTCATCCACACTTGTAAAGTAGATAACAAAAATACAGAGACAAAATAATATACAAAGAACGAAACAAAAAAAATATACTTAACTGATGATAAATTCTGTAGATAGCAAATAACACACGTGGACTCATCGCATAGGTAAAAACTCACTCAAGCTCGTGATTATGATAGACGTATGTTATTTTGTTGTATATAGCACAAAACATACAGCGTTTATTATAACATAAGTGTCATAAAGTTATCGTATTCTGATGAATCCAATTGAGGATGTGGATTAATGACAAGGGGGGGGGGGGAATAAGTACGAGCAATCACGATCAGTTTCCATTCACCTTACATCTAGATCGAAACCTGTGATGTAGTGGTATTGTTGTGATCGCTCTTTTTCGTTCTATACTCAACGATATCGGAAGTACGTGAGGAAATGAAAGAGAACCAACATTCTTTATTACGAGAGATATATCATGCCATAACAATTGTCATTGGATTTTTTCATGTATATGTTGTAGGCAAAATTTAAATCTTTTTTTTATAGTTGAAAGAAGGCGAAGAAAGAGAAATAATCTAAGTGTGAATAATTTTTTTATTTTACAGTACTTTTTAAGAAACATCGTTTAGTTCTAGTTATTTAATCCATGTTTAAGCATCCATCCCTCTTTGAATAACATTTGATGAAGCAGGGAACATTTTCTCATCATTATTAACTCGAACGATCGTTGTATCCAACTCCATTATCTTTTTACGATGAGTGAGCATCTATATACCAACTTATTTTTAATACAACCCCTTACTCGGATTTTTTTCTCTTACTCAATAAGTCACTCATTGTATACTACATCTATTCTTGGTTCTAACCTAATTTTCTTAGTTGTGAGAATAGCTATAGTTAACAGAAGAAAAATAGAAAGAAAAATCGATCAACAAGCAAAAACATTTTAATTCTTTTAACTATAAAAAAATATTTGAATTTTGCCTATAACATATACATGTTCTTCTTCCTTTCGTACTTGGTTCTTTCCCTTTTCTTTTATATGATATATTATCTTTTCGTTCTATGGAATATTCCAATACGTTACTATATATATATATATATAAACATATATCTGATCGTTCTTGATGTGTGTATATCCATCTATCCGTCTTCACTATTTTTCTCTTGCTGTTCTCTTCTGGTTTATTTAGTTGAAATAAACGATTATTTCATCTTGCCTTTCTATCGTAGAACGAAGAGAAGATAAAATTTTTATAAAGATAATTACTAAAATTTATTAAAATTGTAAAGTATCTTTATTGTTATCACTTATAAACATATATTTTGTTCTCTCTTTCTTTCGTTCTATCAAATATCTCTTCTATTGTGTTGTATTAGTTGAATCTTGAAATATTTTCCTTGAGCTTTAATAATAGCTTATGAATTTTCAAGCAGATAGTATTGGGCTAATTCATATACACGTAACATCTAGTATCAATACTTAATGTTTTAGTTGAAGTGGTTTTGTTTCATACCAACAGTTCTGCTGATAAAATTATATTTTATTTTAGAAATTTTTTGTTTTTGATCTTGAAATGGAACAAACTAAACGGCAACGGCGAACAAATAGTATTGTTAAAAAGAAAAAGAAATTAGAAGGTAAAAGTAATATTCTTGATTTTCTGTTTAATTCATATCTGATTTCTTTTTTATATAGTAACAACATTGCATTCAAATAGGTTAGTTAACATGTATAATTTTTCACATTAATTTTTTTATCACATGTTTAGTTCTACAAGAACATTCATAACACGTTTTGAAGATCTTCCAAACGAAATAATCTATGAAATTTTCGATATACTTGATTTTTGTTCTGCTTATGAAATTTTTTCTAATCTTAATAGACGATTCCATCAAATTCTTGTTTTGTCTACTCTTTCTATTAAAATGCATATTTCATTAATATCCAAACCGACTTTTCAACGTCATTATAAACAGATTATTATGCCTAATAAACATCGAATCAATTCACTTTGTTTATCGAATCCATTTATTGTTGATTTATTTTTTCCATCGTCTCAAATCATATCCAAATTCCGTCGACTTGAAACACTTATTATTGATACTACCACAACAACAAAACTGGCAAATCTTCTTAAACAATTAACTAAATTACCAAATTTATCTTCATTGACAATCATTCATCGTCATTGTCTTTATAATATCAACGATCTTTATCTCCAAATATTTCGTCTACCTGCATTAAAATATTGCAAACTATTATTGTCAGAAAATTCTAACTATGGATCACTGCCTATGTCAGTCAATGAGACCAGTCCTATTGAACATCTTGTTATCAAAAATAAATTTTGTTTAAATGAGTTAAATGCTCTATTATCATATGTTCCAAAACTACGTTATTTAGCATTGAATCATTTATATAGTTTGCCGGATGAACAAACAAAATCTTTTTCAAGTTCATTAAATGATTTAACCCATATTTCTATAAAGAATAGTCGTATTCTTTTCAATGAATTAGAATTATTAGCCAAACATTTTTTTCATCGACTTCAAATTTTTCATATTTCAACATATTTCGACGTATCATTTCTAAATGCAAATCATTGGGAACGATTAATCTTATCCTATATGCCAAATTTAATAGTCTTTGATTTTATGCATACAAACTCGCTGAATGACACTACTCAATTAAAATATGAAGATTTAATCCAACAATTTCAATCTTCATTTTGGTTTGAACGACAATGGCTTTTTACGTATACATTTTATTGGAAACGTGCTGAGCGTCATGTTATCTTCAATTCATCTCGTCCGTATAGGTAAAAATAAAATTTTATACTTGTCAATATGATAATGTTAGTTTTATTTTTAAGAAAATCTTATGTATTGTACTCAGAATTCAGTAAACAAATTGATTTATATCAACAAGAAAATAACTTGGATTCAGTTGAACGTATTTGCATTCAAGATGAACAAGGAATGATAAATTGTGTTAATCATTTTTCCAATGTTACAGAATTGACTCTTTTCTGTAATCTCAGCCAAAGTCAAGATTCTCTTTCGACCCACTTTAATCTTATTTTTCCAACGAAACAATTGACTAAACTCGTTATTACTGTTACCTCTATTCCTTTTATGCTGATAATTAAAGCATTAAGTTTATTACCGAATATTCATACGTTAATGCTTACTTATGAATCATTCTTTGAAAAAATTTCACCATCAATTAAACAATGTGACTTATTTCAATTAGTATGTGACAAAAATACTATAACCAATTTGATGATTTGCGACAGAGTTACAACAAAGAATATTCAACTATTTATTATTCTATGTCCTCAAATACAACATCTTACGATAGATATTAATAGGATGTATTCGGAAACAGCGATAAAGTTTTTATTATCAAAAACTAATAACAAGACAAAACATCTGTTTTCATTATGTGTGAAAAATATAACACAATCAATGGTTTATAGATTGAAGACTCAGATCGAATCACAGAAATTGCTTGCCAATTATTCAATGAAATTGGTTGATTCTGAACTATATCTATGGTGGTAAAATTTTGTTGATAGTTATTTATTTTTATTTCTGAATATAAGTCATTTTTATTAATAAACAGGAAACATATTTATCAATGGCTAGTATTTATTTGTGCAATAATAATGACTGAATGAGCAATAAAAAAATCCTTTTCGAGCAGTTTTAAATTATGAAATGGATAATAATTAATCCATTAAATAACAATATTAATTTCGTATTCCAGTAATAAGAAAAAAAAATGTACTATTGTAGCAATAAGACTTTTTTTGCTTTACATGGTCTGTCTCTTGAGGGTATGGATGATGTTGAAGTGAAAATCCACACCGACCCACACCCACCCTCGAGGAAATCTGACTTCTTGATTAACTTGCCATAAGCTTCACTTCTTTTGAGCTCGGTTCGGACTTTTTTAAAAACTAGATCAATTCGCTTGGACAATTTTTCGACAGAATTCGGTTTGATTCCGAAAAATCACGAATCGATCCCACCTCTAATATATACACATAAACAAGATGGAAAAATAAAAAGAAAGAAAAGTACTTGAACGAGTCAACGTTTGGAAAATACCTCAGATAAAAAGGAAAAAAAACAATATACATGTGTAGATCCTGGATAAGCCATCTATGCGATACAATGAAAAGAATGAAAAGAAAATATCCAACACAGACGAACAATACTGTAAACCCCCGTTCATAACAAAAGACTACCGGGTTTTCTATTATGTTTCTCAAAGCAAGTCTAAATTTTGCTGAAAACCCCACCAAAATACACATAATTTGTATAGAATTTTTTTCAGAAGGGTTATTTATTAAGAGGGAGTTTAACACCTGGATTTATATTGCTCCTTATTCATACGATTTATTGTTAATTTAAATAAATTATTGCTCATTCAGTATTATTATTGCTCATTCAGTATTGTTATTGCGCATTTAGTATTATTATTGCTCATTCAGTTTTATTATTGCCAAATTTCATTATTGCTCATTTAGATTTTTTTATTGCTCATTTAAATATAAGTCTTTATCAATTTGTATCATTGTCAGTCTTAACTGTTCTTAAACCATCTTGAGGAGAATGCGTTGAAAAAAGTGAATGCGTTAAAACATTTCTTTTTCGTTTTTTTCTCTAATATTTAAATATGTGGTTTTTCTTTAGCTCGTCACTCTTTCGTTTCACTTAATATTTTTACAGTTTTTTTCCGTTCTTCGTTTTCTATTTCTTTTATCTGTTATTCATCTCAAGTATCTTCGTCACGAAAATGTCATTATCTTCATGTCTCAAATTACATTCGCTACTGAGATTGTTAACAGAGGTATATTTTTTAATAAACAGGTAGAAATGAGTTAGAGGTTTTAAATTCAATTCGTTTTTTTTCTGATGCTTCTTCTTGAGTAGTGAAACACAGTGAGTTAATTCATTTGTATGTTTTGCTAGAAGGAAGTTATGGTAGGTTCATTGATGTTTTGACATATATCAGTATTTGAGCAGCAATAGTCATCTGTTAAGATAAACTTTAACGTTATAGAAGAAATCGTCCTGATTTGAAAAATCACTATCTTAAGAATCATGTACTGATTTTGTCTGATACATTCAGAACTTTTTAGTATTCACAAGATCTATATATAAGCAAAATTTCATATCTAAATTTCCATACTGCCTACTGTTGCTCAGATATCAATGTAGGTAAAAATGACAATAAATTCGATTCATTTCAAACTACGGCTGTTATTTTGCTATATAAAGTATGTATTACTAAGATTACTATTTTAGAATAGGAAAATCGTTAAACAAAAATGGCAGAAATGACAGATAACGATAAGAAAAAAATACCAGATGGTGGATGGGGATGGGTGATAGTCTTTTCATCTTTCATGATCCATTTTGTGATGGATGGGTAAGTGACGTTTCTTTCATGTCTTGTCTAGCTTCATACAAATCAAATAGGATAACATATTCGATGGGCCAAGTGTTCTTAGATCCCATGATGAACAAACTTAATCTCACTCGAGCTGCAGTATCACTTATTTTCAGTATTTTGCCGGCTTTTACACTTGGCATAGGTTAGCTATGATTGCTCTGAAATAAATTTGTTTTTTTCTGAAAATTTTATTTTAAATTTCTAGGACCGATCGCATCAGTTCTCATTAATATGTACGGGTGCCGTCCAGTAGCTGTAGGAGGTACTTGTATTGCCTCATTGGGATTTTTTCTTAGTCGGTGGTGGGTCAATATTTGGTTCTACTATGTTACGATTGGCATCATCGGAGGTATGTTCTCTGATATCCATATACTGACAAATGACTAGTATAATAATTCAACTGAAATCTTACAAGGAATTATTCCTTTTACAATAGTGAAAGAAAAAATATTGATTCAAGTCGATTTCATTTGTATATGAATCGTTTTTTACCTCCTTATTTATATGTAAATGTGTTTAGGAATTGGTTTTTCACTAATGTACATGTCAGCCATACTCTCTGTTCAATCGTATTTCGACAAAAACAAAGGAACTGCTACGGGCATTGCTGTATGCGGTACAGGCGTTGGTACATTTGTTCTTTCCTATGTCATGGATGGAATCGTCAATAAATGGTCATGGCTCAGTTATTCAAACGCACTTCTAGTTGAAGCTTTTATCATCTTAATTGGTCTTTCATGTGGCTTCGCTATGGTAATTCATTACATTCTTTTTTCTTAATTTTCAAACACAAAAGCCGACAGAAATACAAATTTAGAGATAGCGATCGGGAAGTCTTAGAGTAAAAAAACCGTATGTCTTCGGTGGAGTCTACGGATTCAGCAGAATTTGTTTCCCCCTCCCCCTTTCAGTTTTTGCATCATTTTTCAGGATAGCAACAAGTTCCTTTTGTAGAAGCCTCTACCACACGAAGCTAGCCAACAACGACAACTAGCACGTAAAGCACGTGCAGAAGCCGAACGAAAAAAACTTGCTTTACTTTCGATTTTGCAAAAAAATTCTGTAAATTCCGAGAGCAATGCTGTGAACGGTAAACTCATTTTACACTTATTGATATTCATTCATCAATCATTCTCTTTAGCAATAGTCGAACCGATGCTACCAGTTGATACCGATGAAACATTATCAACAAAAAAATCCTTCTTTAGCCGAATAGCTGATGAAATAGATCTCAAACTTCTCAAAAACGCTGCATTCGCACTATTTGTCATATCCAGTGTTTTGGCAGGTCTAGGTTTCAATGTAGTTTACAACTTTGCTGATGACCTGGCAAATGACTTGAAAGTTATAAAAGATCAACGAACGTATATTGTTATGTCGATGGGTTTATCGAATATTTTCGGTCGTGTCATGCTAGGTAATCTACGTGATCGAATACCGGTAAGAATCTTCTTCTTGTTATGAAATTTTGTATTGAGCAAAATCGATTTTGCTTTGTAGAAGAATCAACTTTACTTGTTCATTATAACAACGATTATTTCCGGCATTGCTATCATAGTTGCTCCGTTATGTGGTTCTTCTATTGCTCTTCATATAAGTTATGCATCCACGTTTGGTTTCTTTTCGGGTGGTTCAGTTACTTTGCAAGTGCCTGTTCTTGCTGCTGTAGTCGGCGATGAGAAGCAAAATGTTGCATTCGGTGTTCTTTCACTATTTGGTGGGTTTGCAGTTGTTATCGGAACACCTATTGTTGGTGGGTATTTAATTTTTTGTT